AGAATAATTTGGATAATTTCATGAACCTTTATCCTATCCCAAAAAGTCACTTATTGAAAAATAGCTTTCAAGAGTTGTTACTTATTTTTATATATGTGACTCAAAGTTTGGAATGATAACAGAAATAGACACATTAAAAAAAATAATAATAAACATTGTGTTTTTCAGGGAGTAGGAGATCAATAAGCAATGATCGTGCATATAAGGACCGGCTATGCGAAGCTGCGAGTGAGGGTGACTGGGAAGCTGCAGTGGAGATCGAAAAAGGACATCCAGGAACCCTATCCAAGGTGATAAACGATGATAGACAAGAAACGGCTCTCCACATAGCCACCAGATTCAACCAGGCTGCATTCATAAAGGAGCTGGTTGAGCGTCTCAACGATCAAGATCTGGCCTCCAAAAATAGATGCGGAAACACTGCCCTTTGCATCGCTGCTACTTCAGGCGCTGTTGACATTGCCAAGTTAATGGTGCGCAAGCATAGCGGTTTAGCTCTCATTCGTGGGTCCAAAGGCACAACCCCACTTCTAATTGCAGCAAAATACAAAAACAAGAACATGGTTTCCTATCTCCTTGATGTGACGCCTTTCGATGAATTGATCATTGAAGAGCAAGTGGAGCTTCTTTTTGGTGCCATCTCTGCTGATTATTATGGTTCGTCTCTACTTCCTACAGAGCTACACGTTAATTTGTGTCATTCCAGTAGAGAATAGAGATACATGAATGAACATATACCACATCTAAATAAATAAGAGTAATCTTGAGAAAATGACAAGACCATTGAGAACTAAATCAAGTTGTTCCAAATCCTTGTCTATATTGGGTTTGTAAAGTGTGCAAACAAAGTTTTATGGAAGAGAGGGATTCATGGTATATGGATTAGGACAAAGATCTCTATTGGTACGATGGTTTTTGGGTGAAACCAAAGTAAAGTCCAAAGCAGACAATAGCAAGTGTAGCATTGTCCTTGATACTTTGTAGGACTAAATCAAATGCATGGCTGATCTTGTTTCTTTTTTCTCTACAGATATAGCTTTGGTTATTCAAAGTTGCAACAAGTCGTTAGCACGGAAACGGGACATCAATGAAGATACACCCTTGCATATAATGGCCCGAAAGTGGAATGCGATTGGCACCAAAAATGAGCCAACCAAGTGGCAATCATACATCAATAACTGTTAGTTCTTTTTTTCCCCCCAAAAGTTCACTCTCACGGTTTACTTTATTTAGGTATTGACACCATTTTTAAAACTTTATCAGGGTCCAAATTTATGTACAGAAAGACAATGATGCAGATCCAAGCCCGTGAAATGTGGTTGAAATTATGTGGAATACTGTTAAAAGTAACGAGAGTTCAACAGAAGATCAGCTGTTGAATTTCATTCTTCCGTCAAGCATGCTACACGAGGCTGCAAGAGTTGGAAATACTGAATTTCTGAAAGTAATACGCAAAAAAATCCTGATCTTGTGTGGAGAGTCATCGAAAATGGGAAGACCATTCTTCACGTAGCTCTAGAAAATCGACAAGAACGTGTCTTCAAATTAATTTATGAGATGGGCCTCATCTACAAGGATGACTTACTATATTACTTCGATGACACAAAAGACAGCCTGCTTGAATTAGCTGCCAAAAGGCCAAACCCAATTCATCTAAACCAAGTCTCCGAAGCAGTCTTTCAAATGCACCGCGAACTTATCTGGTTTCGGGTATATAAAATATCTATCTACACCTTCAAAGATTATATTTTTATTAGTCTATTTCTATCATGGCACGCGCAAACTAGTGCACACTAAGTATAAGTATATTGTTCTACTTTTTGTCACATTTTTTCATTTCTAAACCACCAAGTTCTTCAACTGATTATAGGAAGTGGAGAACGTGGTAGAGCTTACGATGACAGTAAAGAAAGGGGAGCAAACACCACATGAATTATTCACCCAACAGCACAAAGAGCTCAGGGAAGAAGGAGAAAAATTGGTGAAGAATACCGCAAATTCATGTATGCTGATTGCAACTCTGATTGCCACGGTAGTTTTTACCGCAGCCTTCACGGTTCCCGGCAGCCAAAACGAGAACACAGGCTTTCCCATATTTCTTCACCCCAAATGGTTCTCTGTGTTTGTGATATCGGATGGGATAGCTTTGATCTCATCTTCAACTTCAATACTGCTGTTCTTGTCAATCTTGACATTGCGGTGTGCAGAAAATGATTTTCTGGTGTGGCTGCCATTGGAGTTGGTGTTGGGCCTTGGATTCCTCTTCCTTTCAGTACTGGGTATGGTGCTGGCTTTCAGTGCCGCCTACTTCTTGTACTATGGCAAAGATACGGCTTGGATTCCATTGCTGATTACTGGGATGGCCATTGTTCCAATTTACTGGTTTGGTATGTTGCAATGGAAACTTTGGGCAGATGCATTAGCAGCATTACATGGATCATTACATGCCATTGGGGCGTGTCACTTGTTAAAGAATAGGAAGACCAAGGTATTCTGATGACTCATTCTTCTTCTTCTTCCTTATTGATCGAACTTTGTTGATTGTTATATAGTTAATACTTTCATTTATTAAGTAAACATGTATAGGTGATCTCTAAATGTGTTAATAATGGCCATTTCTATACTCATTTTTTACAACTACGTTGTAATTGTAATATTGTGCTAGGTTCATCTCGATTTATTCACTCGTTTTTCTTTGCTGGTTAAGTTTCTATATATTCACTCTCGTTTTCTAGAATAATCTGTATGCTTTTGAACTTAGTTGAGTGAAGATCTTTAGGAGAAGTTATTCATATTTTCGTTCATATCACTTTTAAGATATTGTTAGTGAAAGATTATTCGACGAAGTAAAAATAAATTAGGTAAAAATGTCTGGATAAGTTGGTGAAATTTTTTTATTAGGTTTACCATATTTACAAAATCATTATTATGTGATTGAAATTTCGTTATTATATTTTAAAATGTCTTAATTTAGCCCTCTGAAAAATGATTATGCTACTTAGGGCTATATTTGACGAGAGCAAAATACGGAGAAAATAAGTATTCAGACGGATGGATATAATTTTCACAACATATTTGAATTTTCAATGTTTAAACTTGAGAAATATGAATTTATGTAATATACGCAATAGATTATAAAATTTTGACTTCTTAAAATATATATATATATATACACTATATATTTATAGATAACCACAAAAGTTTAGGATGATTCAAGAATGTATATTTATTTTAAAATCTTTCTTCCACATATAATTTGATAAGAATCAACCTTAGCTTCAATCAGTGGCAAATCCAAAAATTTTGTTCGAGGATTTGATGCTAAATTTTTGGATTTGATACTAATTTACAAGCATGTAATTTCAAGAATTCATAAAAGTATGATTTTGAGGCTGTCAAAGTCCTTTTTTGTAATATTCTTTATAACTTGGTTTCAAATATAACAATTATAATCAATAATTCTAATTTTTAGATCATGATCTGCCGATAATTCTTCTAAATTTACTAASAAAAATATCTATTAAAACTACTATATATTACTTTTCTTCAATAGAGATATGACACCTGGGATTTGTTTTATAGTATCTTTCCATTCAGATACTATATATTAAATCTACAAGAATATTAATAAAAATATAATATAAAGTTAAAATATAAAAATAAGAATTATAATAATTATATGTATTAAAACAATGGGAAGATGTCAATTTTATAGGATAGTTCAACTTTTTATTGACTATTATATTTAAAATAACTTCAAATAGTCAAATTCGTAGTATATATAATGTAAAGTTAATAAAAATGTAACTTAAATAATTAATCTCCAAAATTATCGATTTCTATAGATTCTACAGAATTAAAATTAAAAATTATATAAAATAAGAATAATTGAATTCAAAAATTATGATTTAAAGAGAATAAAAAAATATCAGTACAAATATTATATATACGTATGACAACATATAAATTGAAAAGAAAAAATAAGTCTTGAAATTTGCCGTCAATAATTAGACCAAAGAAACGAAAAATGATGTATATAAATTTTAAAAAAAGTTTGAATTTCAAAAAGAGTGTAGATACACGATTTAAAATTAAAATTAGGGTTTGAATGTCTCAATGTTGTATTTTTTTTTTCACTTTTAAAAATGGACCTAATTTATGATTTTTTAATTTAAAAATAAAATTGACAAAAGTTTTTCATTCTATAAAACTAACAAAAAAAATAAATAGAAAAAATTTAAGGAAAATCACGGAAAATATAGTGTACAGAGGTTCCAACACGTTCAACTGACTTAATAAGAAAAATGATTAGGAAAATAGAGTTACACTTAAGTCGTTCACGCAAAATTTTGTAAGAAAAATAGAATAAAAAAATTTATAAAAATAGTGTTATATGTTCAAGCTGACTCCAACAAATGCGCTCAGGAGAAAAATTAATTAAAAAAATGTAGAAGAATTAATTAAAAAAATGTAAAAGAATAAAAAAAGTAGATTAATTCAAGCACTTTTCATTGAGCCAAAGGTAACTTTTATAAATTTTATGTATAGTTTTATTTACTTATTCAATAGCTTCAAAAGTTCGGGGAGGGCTCGAGTCGTAGCTCCACCCCTGGCTACGACTCTCACTGAAAAGCACACCAATTATTTAAAATCACGTCGATATAAATGTTATCAAGGTGAGTAAAAATGATTGGACATATAGAAAAAATTGTAAAAATAACAAATAAGTTTTATATTTAGAAGTATCTTTTTATATTTTTATCAATATTTTTGGGTATTATAAAAATCCATTCATCCTCTAAACAGCGTGGGCGCAGCATAGATTCCCATGCACACAATAACTGTTTCATGCAACTGAGAGCCACGTCGCGTGTGAAGTACCAACACATGCATGCGTTGCAGACACGTAGCGAATCCCCGATTACTTTAATCCTGTCTCTCCATAACATGATCGACGGTGGACATAAATCCCGAGAGGAAAAGACAACTCTTCCACCAAAACGGACGGCCCCGATCGAGAATCAAGCACCATCTTGATATTTTCAACCGGTTGATGAGCTGGGCCCGCTTGATTTAACCGGAGCGAGCGACAGGTCGTTTTGCAGTCGCCCCCTCCCCCGTTTTGTTCCTGTTCCTTTCTTCCCCAGTAGCCACTACCAACTTTCCCGTCCTCTGCAATCCATTTCCGGTGAGTTTTCGGTTTTGTTAAAACTGTGGTTTGTTATTTATTGTTAATGTGAGATATCGAAGTTTTTTTTTCTTTTTGGTTTATACTTTGATGAGATTGTGGTGGTTATTCGGGTTTTTATTTTTGAGCTCTTTGCATGCGTGTGGGTTTGTTTTTGTTATGCCATTTAAGGTTTCTTTTTCTTCTTTTGGTCTCCATTTTAATTTGATCGCATCATCTTAATCTTGTTTAATTCAATAATTATTTTTTTTAGTTAAACTCACACCCTTTTGGACAGACTTTGCAATTCAATAATTAGTTATTAGCCAATTATTTTGCGGGGGATATTTCTGCTAAACAATTTCATCAGTACTAGTAAAATTAAAATTAATGTATTTTATCTATTTATACTAAATCATTAAAAATTTTGTAATTATTAAATTGAAGAATTTTAATCATACTAAACTTTAATGTTTTATATTCTAACTTTTCACAGTGTGATAATTAGTCAATCTTTTCCTAGTCCAATTATACATAATAATTTTAGAGGCTGAAAACCATTAGAGCTCAATCACCTCTAACTCAATCACTCCAAATAAACATATTTTTAATAAAGATTGGTGTTGAAGTGTAATTTGGAGAGGTCAATTGTATTGGTAGTCTAAATTTGGCTCAACAGGTTGTGAATAGGGGAAAGATGGAATCTTGAATCGAACAGGTAGGTCGAAGATGACTTGTCCACAGAAAGAGTGAGGCGTCGGTATAAATTGACTCGCCTTTTTACTCAATTTTAGTTGTATTGAATTGTCTTACTTTTAGTTGCCTTTTTACTCAAGGGTCAATATAAAAACTAAATGCTTAAGTCAAGAACAAAAGAAAATATAAAAACTAAATGCTTGACTAGAACAAAAGAAAAGAAAAGCTCAGTTTTTAGTTACTCAAATTTTAACTGCTTAAGTCGAGAACAAAAGAAACGGAAAACTCAATTTTAGTTGTAGCGAATTAACTTGCCTTTTTACTCAATTTTTTTACTACGACTAATTGCCTTCTTACTCAATTTTTTTACTCAATTTTAGTTGTATTGCATTGTCTTGCTTTTACTTGACTTTGTACTCAATTTTAGTTGTATTGAATTGTCTTGCTTTTACTTGCCTTTTTACTCAATTTTAGTGGGCTTGGGACCCTTGTATTTATAGGGGTTCTTATACCCTCCCCCAAGAAATCGTTGCATGGGATATAGTGCATCAAGGAGGCGTGTAATGGGCCACAGGGTAGCATGTGCACCACACCAGGCACGTAGGTGGGTTGGGTGAACAAGGCAAGAAGTTGCGAGCAAGTTTGCTTATAACATCATTCTCTTTCATTTCATTTTTGTCTAACGCGTCTGGTTTAGATGACATCCGAGAGTTGAGTCATTTTGATTCATTCTTAGAAACATTCGAAGCTTCGGGCCATTATGAGCAAGTTTTTTCTTCTGTTTCTCCTCCGAGGTGGGTACCTTGGGAGAACATGATGGGAATGTGCTATTCCTACATGGGTCATTTTTTCGGTAGACACCCAAGGGATCTAGTCATCCATCACCCAAAATGATTTGGTAGTTATTCGTACTTGCTATGAGATCTTTTCTTCTATTACGCGAACCCAAAGGGAGAGAACACCCCAACACGTGAAGAGGTGACATTTTATGCAAAGATGTTCAGCAGCGGTCTAAGGTTGCCTCTGCATCGCTTCCTCCAACATCTGTTAAGATTTTCTCAATTTTCTCCTACTCAACTTGTACCAAACTTGTACCAAATAGGTAGTCTATGTAGTTGGGGTGTTACGTTACGTGGAGGCAATTAGGCGGAGGCTTGGTTCTCAAACTTGAGACCATTTCCTCTTTTTCAAACGGATGGCAACTCCACCAAAGAAAAACATGTTTTTCTACTTATCGAAACAAGTGGGGGCACATGGTTGGCTGAGTCAAAAAGTTGGGGAGTGCAATCGTGGTGGTCACCCTCCCTCTTAATGGGAGTAGTGTGGCCAACTTAGCCGCGGTGGATTCTTAATAGACGAGATAAGAGGGTAGAGTGAATCTCAAGGTTGTTTGTGGGATTCATGCGATCAAATGTCTCATCTTTGTGGAAAGATGGAAAGACAAGCGATTTTTTTGTTTGTCATCCGATCGAGTTTGGATAACTGGGTCAGTACTCTTTGCTGTCTCCACTTGCCAGCTCGACTGGTCACTTTTTTTTTTCTAAGTCGTGTTTTTTTTTTCTTTTTGGTGGGCAGCGCGAGTTCGATCGACCTTTTGCACGGATGTGGAGCTATTGAAGAGCGCTTTTGACTTGCTATCTTCATGCGATCCAAACGATATTTCCTTGGTCGAGGTGTGGTATCTAAGGATTTCAGTCATCTCACCTTTCCTATCCAATTCCTAGGTTGCAACTCACTCATTTAGAGGTTGCAACTCTAGTGGGAAAAAGGGTTAGCTACAAGAATCTCCTTCGTCTAGGTGTATATGTTCTCTTTTTTCTCTTATTTATTTATTTATTATTATTGTTTTTCTTAGCAGCTTAGCATAGATATCTCACACTTCTCCATAGACTCAGAGCTTCAAAGCTATGCCTTCAACATCCTTTATTGACCGCCTTCGTGCTCAAGCAGCGAAGCGCGCGACCTCTCATTGTGCGGAGCAAGATGGCTGTTCTGGGACAGCTGACTTACCTCCTCACCAGCGTCGTCGTACTGGGGATTCTTCTCAGGAATATCTTCCTCTCCCATTTGATCCCCAAGCTTTTCCAGCAGTCCGACCTCCACCTCTTTCCACCTCTAGTCAATCTCGGCCATCTATGGTGCCCTTAGCTGGAGCATCGCCCAACACTCCCCGTAGGTACACCTTCCGAGATGTACCATCTCCTGCTTTTGGCTTCCCCGGGCCCTATATGGCTCCTTCCCCTCCTAGGGTAGTGAACAAGATGGGGAGAAAGATTTGGGAAAATATGGATCAAATGAACGTGGGTGGAGACTTTGCCATTGAAAACCCAGAACGCGAGTTTTGTCAAGCTGTCTTTGATCTGCAAATGGTACCATTTATTTTTGGTTTTATTATTTTATTTACTTTTTTTCCATACGTTTTTTAAAACCCAGAACGTATGTTCCCTTACGTTTTTTCCTTGCAACACAGGTTGGCATGAGGGCAAGCTCAGCTGCCTACCGCATGGGGTTCGAACTTCAGCATGCCCATGCGTCCAAGTCTGCTGCAGTGGGTGCCTTGGAAGAGGTGCGGTCCTTGTTGCTGTACTCGAACCTCAAGAGGGCGGAGTTAAAGGTGTCCTTGGAGAAATCCAAAGCCGAGACTAGTGCGGTCATGGCTAAAGCGGAGAGGGTACGGGTAGAATTGGAGCGTTGCCAAGTAGCTTTGAGAGAGAAGCTCGCCGAGTTAGAGGCCTTTCAATCTGACTGGAAAGACTCTACGAAGTTAGAGTCTGCGCTGCGTTCTATTGGGGCCTATGATGCACTTCAAAGGGAGATTATGAGGATGAGTTTAGGTTGGGTGGAAGGGAAAGTGAGGGAAACTCATCCAGGGGTCGACGTGAGTTTCCTTTACACCGCCTTAGAGGTTGAAGAGAATGCTTCCCATAACGACGCTGACTTGGCTGAGCCTACACTAGACAAGGATGCTTCTTCTCGATCTGGTACTCCAAGGAGTGGCGAGGAGGTGGAGGCTGCAATGACTGCCAAGGCGGTCAGCCCTATCCCTTCTAATGTCGAAACTAACTCTGCTATCGCTGCTCCAAAGATTAGTCCTACTGAGGAGGCCATGAACAAGATTAGTCCTACTCAGGAGGCCATGAACAATATGGTGGCGCATTCGAACGATTCCTTGAGCGACACAAGGGATTCTGCTTAAGAGTGTCATTAATATTTTCTTTCTGTTTTTTTTTTTTTTGGTTGGTGGTGTTGTAGTATTTATCTCCGTTTTTGGTATTATGCTATGAAGATCCATAGATTGGTACCTCTAATTTGAAAAAGTACAACTGTGTTTTTATTTTTAGTATATTATATTTTTCTCTGGGGTTGTACAATTTTAAATGTTCCACATTCTATGGAGGCGTTAAGTGGTATCCTAGTCGAGTCGGACAAATAGTTTACGGTAATTTTTGACACATGTAGTTTTAATCTATGGGTTCTTTCTGCGATGTGCTTGTTCTCGATAAGGATCTATTGTATTTATTTTGTTGAGAAACGAAAACCATGAAGTATTAATAGTAGTATTTGTATTTGGAGTATAATAGTTTGATTGTAGTCCAAGTTCTCGGAGGCTTGTCAATTCCATGCCAAAGATAAGTCGCCGCTCATGGTACTTCCTTTTTCTTATTTTTTGGATTTATATAACTAAATCCAAGGCCAATACTTATTTTGATGTGATGCGGCAGTTATTACTATTGTAATATGAAACTTAATTGGTTGATTGAGATCATGCTGGGTTGGAGAGTGTTGGATTTATAAATAGTATAAAAAAATTCTACGGGAGGAGTGATCTATGGTATTTAATGAAATTATTTTCATTAATACGAGATCTTTTTAATAAAATAAAAAATAAAATCGCTGGAGTTATGTCAAATTATCTCCATTCATCCCCTTACTTCGATTTCAGCCCACCTTAGATTCTCATGGAGATAGATACACAAAATAACTCTTTCCTATGGCCTTGGATTTCCATTTCATCCAACCCACCCAGGAACCGAAAGCCACGTTGCGTGTCAAGTAACCAACACATGCAGCTTTGCAGACACGTAACCGTTCCCTAACTATTTTAATCCACGTAAGCCATGCCTCTCCATCACCGTCCATCACATGATCAACGGTGCAAATAAAAGGGAAAACATTTTAGTCTTTCTAATCCTGGCGGCATCAGATTCTCAACCCCAAAATTGCTTTTCCAAAGCGTGGACGACTCCACCGGAATCCCGCGAGGAAAAGACAACTCTGCCACCAAAACGGACGGCCCAGATCGAGCATCAAGCACCATCTTGATAGTTTCAACAACTTGGACCGGTTGATGAGTTGGGCCCGCTTTATTTCACCGGACCGACAGGTCGTTTTGCAGTCGCCCCCCTCTCCCCTTTATTTCCTGTTCCATTTATAAAGCTTTTGAGGAGACGAGGCTGTATTCCCGTACCAACCTATCAATTTTCCCGTCCTCTGAAATCCTCTTCCGGTGAGTTCTTTTTGTTTCCGGCTTTGCATTCCGCGATCATTTTTCTTGTTATAGGTCTTGTTATTTGGACTTCATTGTTTACTTGATCGGCAATTTGGTAATTGGTTTTTGCCTACCTTTTAAACTGTGGTTTGTTATTTTGATAATGTGATCGAAGTTTTTTTTTGTTTCTGTGTATCTCGTCTTTGGTTTATCGTTAGATGATTATGTTTTGATGAGATTGTGGTGTTTTTGAGTGCGTGATCGTGGCTGAACATGTTCGGCTTTTGATCTTTTAGCTTTTCTGCATGCGTGTGAATTTGTTATGCCATTCATGATATTAAGGTTTCTTTTTCTTCTTTTACTCCGCATTTTGATCGCGTGATCTTGTTTGAATCAATAATTAGTACTTTAACTGGAGGTGAATTGAATTGGAGGTCAGGATCGTTCTGCTAAACAATTATATCATTATAATGTTTCTCTTCTCCTCGTATTAATTTTGTGATCCAGACTTGGTGGAGTTTCTCTTCTCCTCGTATAATTAGTACTTTAACGGTAGCTTCTTTGGACACGTTTTTATTTTTATTATTTTTAAACCTCAATCCGGAACTATTCAAAAGGTTTATCACCTGAAACTTATTTTTGAATCATAGTCTTGCATATGAAAAGTTAATAGTTTAAGGCTTCTCCAACTTGACTTGTAGCGGGTTTTAGTTTTTGTGGATAATTATTTTTTACTTCTTCAAAGTTAAAAGAATTCAATGAGTTTTCTTATTGTTTTCTCCGCCCCTCCTCATGAGTCTGACTTTTAATTGGTAATTGAAACTGCTCTTATCTGGCAGAAATTTTATGTTCAATGGTTTTCTCTAGTCTTCTTATCGATTATCACCTAGGAGATGAGTTTTTATTTATTTCTTAACTTGAATCTTCACTTTGGACTTGTAGGTCACCAATGGCTGCTTATCACTTCAAAGCGGTTTTCTCATGTTTATTCTTGTTGATTTCTTTTAATCTTGTCTCGTCTGCATCCAATGATGGCTTGCTTAGAGTTGGACTGAAGAAGATTAAGTTAGACCCGGACAGCCAGCTAGCTGCACGGCTTGAGTCTAGGGATGCAGAGATTTTGAAAGCTGCTTTCAGGAAGTATAACCCCAATGGAAATCTTGGAGAATCTTCTGATACGGATATTGTTACCTTAAAGAACTACCTGGATGCTCAATACTATGGTGAGATTGCCATTGGTACTCCCCCTCAAAAGTTCACTGTAATTTTCGACACGGGCAGCTCCAATCTATGGGTTCCTTCTGCAAAGTGCTTGTTCTCTGTAAGGATCTATTGTGTTGATTATGATCAGAAACGAAAACCATTAAGTATAAATGGTAGCATTTGGAGTGTACTAGTTTTATTGTAGGCCACATTCTCATCTTTTTGTGTTCTGATGTAGGTGGCTTGTCGTTTCCATGCCAGATATAAGTCAAGCCGCTCAAGTTCGTACGAGAAAAATGGTACTTCCTTTTCCTTAGTTTTTGGGTTTATAAACCTAAATCCAAGGGCAGGATAGGATTGTCATTATCAATACTTATTTTGATGTGGGTATATTTATACTTGAATGAAGTGACGTGGCACTTATTACTATTGCAATTTGAAACATTTTGTTTATTGACATCATGCAGGGACATCAGCTTCTATTCGGTACGGGACTGGAGCGATCTCTGGTTTTTTTAGTTATGACAATGTCAAAGTTGGAGACCTAGTTGTAAATCATCAGGTAACTTTCTGCGTTAACTAGTATTTCTATTAGATTGAATTGTTGGAATATCGACCTTTTGTTACTTATGACTATTGTCTCTTTCAGGTGTTCATCGAGGCAACCAGAGAGCCTAGTCTTACATTCCTGGTGGCCAAGTTTGATGGGTTGTTGGGACTTGGTTTTCAAGAGATTTCAGTTGGGAATGCAGTCCCAGTATGGTAGGATATGTTCATCTAAAATTAATGATTCTTGTTTAAGATCCCTCTCGATCCATAGAGGTTTGAATGAGGCATTTGTAATTTTTTCCTCAGGTATAACATGCTTGAACAAAATCTTGTGAAGGAACCAGTCTTTTCATTTTGGCTCAATCGCAACGTTGAGGAGGAAGAAGGAGGTGAAATTGTGTTTGGTGGGGTTGACCCAAAGCATTTCAAGGGCAAACATACTTATGTTCCTGTCACGCAGAAAGGTTATTGGCAGGTTGGTCGCAGAGCCACCATCTCATCCTTGCCCTTGAGTATTGTTATTACTCACCATGCTTATATTTTTCTGATTTGTAGTTCAACATGGGCGATGTTCTCATAGATGGGGAACCAACTGGTATGCTTCCTTTTTGCACTTTATAAGTATAATGTATCTTACAAAAGTATAATCCAAAAGTATCCAGAGAGATAGTGTTCTTATTTTTGCAACATGAGAATAGAATTCTGCATTTATCTGCTTCTGATTAAAGAAAGTCATTGCCCAGGATATTGCAGTGGCGGTTGTGCAGCAATTGCAGATTCTGGAACTTCACTGTTGGCTGGTCCAACTGTGCGTATATTGACTTAAAAGCTTTACCTTCCATGTCATCTGTAACTTCACTTGCTTCCCATCTGTTTCTATGTTGCATGATACTTTTTGAATCATTTTTTGTGTGTGTCTGAAATGTATCATGTACCTGAACCGCTTGTTAACCTAATATTTCAGGCCTTTTATATATATTCTTTGGACATAAAGACCTCTTCTTAGCCTTTTATGCAAGAGCGCTGTGATTGTCTTTGGAGTTGGGTTAAATTACTAATTAGTCAAATGTTTTCCTGTCTCTATTAGCCTATTATAACCATGATCAATCACGCCATTGGAGCTAAAGGAGTCATCAGCCAGGAATGCAAGACAGTTGTTGCACAGTATGGGCAAACCATTATGAATTTGCTTTTAACGGAGGCAAGTTAATTCTATCGTTTTTAATTTCCTGGTTCTTAATGAAATGTTTTGGTTTTATACTGCCTTAGAGACTCATTCTTTACATATTTTATTGATTATTGACCTATAAGCTTTTATGCTATCTTCAACAGACAAATCCAAGGAAGATCTGTTCTCAAATTAATTTGTGTACTTTCGATGGAACTCGAGGAGTTAGGTGAGGCATAAATGCTTTTTTATGGTTCCACAGTATTCCTACTGCATGAATCGTCCTCATACACTTACTTGGTGAATTTACTGATCCATGAAATTATGTTGTTCATGTAGTATGGGAATTGAGAGTGTGGTGGATGAGAATGCCGGAAAATCATCTGGCGGTCTACGAGATGCCATGTGCTCTGCATGTGAGATGACGGTTGTCTGGATGCAAAATCAACTTCGTCGGAACCAAACCCAAGAACGCATAATGGACTATGTCAATGAGGTAGAAAAATCTCATGCTTCAAGAATTTTACAGATCTTTTAGAATATTGGTTCTTGATGACTCAACTAATTAAATCCTCTGCAGCTATGTGATCGTATTCCTAGTCCAATGGGTCAGTCAGCTGTCGACTGTGGAAATCTTTCTTCCATGCCTCGTGTTTCCTTCACCATTGGTGGCCAAGTTTTTGACCTTGCCCCGGAAGAGGTAGATGCAAAAATAGTTGCTTCAGCTTCAGCGTGTAGAAATTGTCTCCATTTGATTATACTTCTTAAGTTCATGGAAAATTGTATGCTTGTTTAATGTTTTCTCGATATTGCACTTGTTTTTCCCAACTTGCTCTAAAATGGCGAGCAATGTGAACAGTATATACTCAAGGTGGGGGAGGGCCGTGTAACTCAGTGCATCAGCGGATTTTCTGCGTTCGATATTCCTCCTCCTCGTGGACCCCTGTGGTATATGTTTTCCCCATTATTTTGCATCCAGAATCATTTAAAATACCTTTCTTCTAAAGATAACTATGTCAATTGAATCGACATCATTTTGTTGGCTCCAGGATCCTGGGAGACGTCTTCATGGGCCGCTACCACACCGTCTTTGATTTTGGCAATATGAGAGTCGGCTTCGCTGAGGCAGCATGATGGAAAACAAAAAACTCATACTTCGGTGGCTTTGTTTAGTTACCTTTTAATGTTTATACGGACGAGCATCTTTATTTTCAATCCATCCTAACTTCGTAAACTTGTTTATGTCTGGATTTATGGAATGTTAGAAGAAGCGCCGAAAATGGGATGAACAACCCATGCTTGTAAATCCTTGCTACTCTTTTATCTTTTATAGATACAGCTTGTACAGTTGCTTGAGCGTCATCTCTGCTGATTTGAATGCATACAGAGGCTGTTATATATTTGGAGAAAGAGATAATAGTGTCAATGAATGAACCAAATTTATATTTGTGTTAAGTTGATTTACAAATTACAAGACTGATCCCGTTATGTGAAGGAGATTTACAACTCCACTAGAAAAACAGGAACTTAAAAAAGCTTGCTTGCGAGCTCTCCCAACTCTTCCCCAGATGCAGCTAATTGCCTGAGCTCCAATAAACTTCTTCCCAATTGCAGAGCAACCTTCATTTCAAACACTTCTCCATTCTCCCTTTTCTGAACGTCTCTCAAGTTTATATTTGATTCAACCGTTTCTTCCATGAGCTTAAAGAAACCTGCATTACTTCTGTACATTTCAAACACCATCCCAACTTGTCCACCATGCTCCATTGTATTCACAACGCTTGCCATAGATCCAGCTACAACTCCAAGCAAAACAGGCCAAGCCCCTGAACAAGAGCCCACAAAAGCAGACCCAAATGCCCCAAGCAAGGTTAACAATGGACCTGAAACTGCTAAAATCTTGTTGATTTGTAATGCTTTTTGGCTCAATCTCAAGTATTCTTGCTGGTCTTCTCTCTTTAATACTCCAACGATCTCTCTCATTTCATCTTCTAGAGTTCTACTCCAACCATTTCCACTGCACTTTGTCCTTGCCTGCTTAATTAGTTTGTGCATTGACCTTTTTTGAGGCCACCAAGTTGCAGGCTCCACGGTGGTGGGAAATTTTTCAATCATGGATCCTAGTAAAGGAAGAGGGTATGCTCTATCTAAAGCCAAGACTTTCTCCGTTGCTTCATCTACTTGGTTGATGTTAACATTTCCAAGAGAGAGTTTGGACTGAAGCTGACAATGAAGCTGCTTGAACAATCTTGCAGCATTTCTTTGTTCTTCAGCTAGTTGGGATGGTTGTAACTTGCTCATCACCGCCGACATTCCCGTGGCTGCTAAATATAGCAATGTCGAAGACATCTTTAGCGCCATGATCGGTGCTCCGGTTGTGGCTGCAGCTGCCAATCCAGCCATGGTAGCAGCTCCAAGAGTAATTGCATTCAAGGAAGTCAGCAAGAGATGGTTCCAATTGTCCCGTTGCTCCCCGATATTCCGATGCATTTCCACTCTATCCGCTACGGCCTCCATAATCGTGTACAACTTCGTAGCCACAACGGGATCCAGACAACTCGCACTGTTGCTGTTTGAATGTCTATCAGCAGCTGCATCTGTAAACGTTGGAATCTTAAACCCGCTCCCCATGTCCAACTTCTCAACCAACTCTCTGTTTTGCAACTTAGGAAATGACAGAGGCGTAGGCTGAAACACAGGTGGACTGATCGTAGCTTTACAAACTCCTCTGCTGTAATTTGCAGAGAAAAAAGACGAGGAAGAAGAATCCTGGAAATACAATAAACTTGAAGCTCTAAATGCAGCCATATTCACTAGAAGTAAATAATGATCTGCAATGGCTGATTTGAATAAAATGGCTTCAGAATTCTATTTATAAATATATGTAAAGGCAGAGATCTGCAAACTATGCATGAAAGAATCAAGACGGTGATTCTGAAGACCAAGACTTCAGCGGTGGGAAATGGCTGACTTTTCAACTGATCCGTGTTAAGTGATGAACAAAAGGCCAACAACTCTGAAGTCTGACCTGATTCATAATGCAGACCTACCACTGTTCTTCACCCATTCTTAATCATTCAAACAGCTTCACATTACGTAATAATGGAGAATGTAACATGTTTTTGCTCAAATATTGCCTTCAAACGGACAAAACATGGTTCTGACAACGCACACAACATGCTCCATGCATCTGAATTTTCAAATATATTTCAAGTTTGTTCGTTAATTTAAAAATGAATCCGACAGTCGAGGGCTGATGTTTGTATTTTTTGACGCGTTTCACTCAACAGTTTTGTCCGTAAAACTTTGAGGACTCCAAAATCGAACTCCCATACGGTTAGTCCAAGAGGGTTGGTCAAATTTAACCACTTGTGTTCAGATTTTGATCTGGTATTCAACCATTTTTTCCTTTTTCCTCATTTGACAAAAAAGGAAATATGTAAAGAAAGAGATGTAAACGGACCTGGTTATGACTTTAATGCTGAGTTGAGTAATTTCGATGTAAACAGACATCATATTTTCTTCGTGACAATTAAGATTAAAGGAGTAAAAATTAATTTCTTTTCTAAACTTGAGTGCGATAGTTTACAATGTCGAGGAAAAAGTAACATTTTTTGGTTTGTTCGACCATCAAGAATATGGCAGGAGTACTATTTAGATTTGATTTATTTAGTCAATTTAAATATGACTAAAAAAAGTACTTTAACATTCAAAGGTGGATAGGTTCGAAGTTACTATGCAATTCTTAGAACTAAAAAAACAAAAAAAATTAAAGAAGGAATAGAAAATAGAAAAAATAAAGTTATAAACATATGATATTACATTAGTAACAACATATTTAAAATTTATAAATGTAAAATCTTATTCTGTTTTTTAAAAAGTTTTAGAAGCATATTAGTACCGTTAATTGTTTTGCATCTGAGTTTCACACAAAAGGTCCAAAACTAAGATGCGATTCTACTTTATTATTTAATTTGAGTATTGCAATTTCCGATTATTAAAATCTTCTGAAAACTACTCGAAATGTATTTCTCAACTATAAAACTATTTTTAACTTAAAAAACTATATTAGGCATCAATCTCTAGTTGAAAAGGCAGACATGGAATCTTCAAGCCCCAATTTTTTACACACGACCTTCAATTTTGTGAAAAATGGTAGGGAATCACATTCGAATTCCTACGAATCAATCATTTATTCTTTGGTTCCTGTAAAAATACGATCTTACAAGGTTTCTAAGCGCCAAACACAGAATCTGAAGACAAATTATCAACCATTGCAAACACAGAGAAAAAGCTAAAGTTTTTTTAAGTACTTGTTTGAAATCTGTGTATAAAAATTCTTTACATTCTAAAAATAAGAACTTTAAAAAGAAGAAAAGAAAAAAGTTTCTCCAATTTATAGTTTACTCAGCTTTCATGCGCCAACTTCACAGTTTTCAAAGTGGGTACTCTATTATGCAGATTGACACAAGTTATAGTTCAGATTGTTCAACAGATGCTGAAATGCAAGTGGCTCTGCCAGTGCAAGATTACATTTTCATCATCTACAAGTTCTGACTAGTGCAGTTGAGAAACAAAATAACCCAATGCTTCTGACATCTCGCAAATACAGAATTTGGTCAGAAGACATGGGCCATATCAGAAAAATCTTAGGGACAGGTCACATAGTAAACATGAAGAATTATGCTGGCTTGTAGTATTTTGTAGGAACGAATGGCATTTTAGTGACAACACCATCGTAGGTTTTTCCTCTGATAGCAATCTTAACTTTGGTGCCAGCCTTGTGAGATCCAGATTTCACATAACCCATAGCAATATTCTTCTTGAGGCAGGGGCTAAATCCTCCGCTGGTGATTTCTCCGATGTTTTTTCCTTCCTCATTCTGAATCTCACTGTGGCCTCTTGCAGGGGGGCCTGAAGAGAAGAAACCAACACGCCTTACTGCTGGGCCCTCTGCAAGTTGTTTCAGAATTACCTCGGCACCGAGAAAACCGCCTTCTGCTCTCCTCCTTTTTCCTATGGCCCATGCTAATCCTGCCTCGACGGGTGTTGTATGTTGTTCCATGTCATTTCCATATAAACACAGGCCTGCCTCAAGTCGAAGACTATCTCGGGCACCCAATCCTGTCAGTCTTACCTTCCCTTCTGATTTTTCCAGGATTGCTTTGGCAAGATCCACTGCATGCTCTGAAGGGACTGAAATTTCAAATCCGTCTTCACCCGTGTACCTGGTTTTAAGAAGTATAAGAAAAAGAGTAACAAGTTCCATTTTAGATGGTACTTAATCTGTTTGTTTACCATCTTCACCCATTTATTACAAGTTTTGAAAGCAACACGTAGACTTCAATCAGTTCTTTCTTCAGCCACAGGTGATAATTGATGTTATGACAATTAGAGAAAAAAAATTCATGTTGCGTGGTTATTCAAACATTTTGTGTGGTACGAAAAGACTAACTCATTCAGACTGGAAAAGGAAATATAAGCCTAAAGGAAGCATACCCTGTCCTGGTGAGAAAGCAGTGAGCTCCATTGATATCCAAAATGCGGAACTCACCAAAGTAAAGTTTGCTCAGATCCTCTTTTGTCAAGTGTTGAAGAACTGGTGCAGCAAGAGGGCCCTACGAAAGGAAGTCAATAAAGTTTTTCACATTGTTATCAAAATTGGAGCATTCAGAAAGAAGCCATACGTAAAGTAATATAACAATGAATTCAACCTGTATTGACAGGATTAATGTAAAAGGGGAGAACGAGTCTGACAATTTAAGATACAGGTGACACCAACTTTGCAAAAAGGAAGTCTAAACTCGTGACAGTGTTTATGCAATTTAAATTTAGGTTAGGGAAATGAAATGAATGGAATATAGACCTGCAGTGCTATAAGAGATCTCTCGTCATGAATATGCCATGAGACATCCCCGCCCTTCGCCTTGAAGGCCTTCATATGATGCTCAATGTGAGCTAAATCCTTGTCTCTGCAGCCCGCATTCACAACCAAGTATATGTGGTCATCCTTCACCTTGGTGATTACTGAGTCGTCAATGGCTCCTCCTTTCTCATTAGTAAAGACAGTTAGTGTCCCAGTTCCAGGAGCAAGCCCAGCAACGTCAGCAACAACGAGTGTTTCAAGGAAAGGGATACAATCCTTCCCCTTAAGGCTCAGTCCACACATATGGGCAACATCAAACAGTCCACCATTCTGCCTACAGTTCACAGTAGAATCCATTATCGAGTCCTTGTACTGAATAGGCATGCTCCATCCAGCAAATGGAACCATCTTCCCACCGTTAGCAACATGAAAATCATATAGAGCAGTCTTTTTGAGCTCAGACTCTGCAGAAAAGAATCTCCGTCCCACAGCCTTCTTATCAGCCTGTGCAAGTCGGCGGGTAATTGATTGGCCTAGTTGCCACAGACCTCCCCTCATCTTGCTACTCTAAAATATCTGGTCATAGAATTGAAAGAAATTCAAGTGAACAGACAATACTACTTTAAAGTTTAAACCATGAATACCCCTTTGTTAGGAAAGAACAAGATGGAAAACTGAATAACTAGGCAGCTAAAATAAGAGGCAAAATCAGTAAGAATATTATGATGCTTGAAAAACAATTCGGATATATCATGAAAATGGTTCGTATATGACTTAATAACATAAACAGTTCGAGTAACAAGCTACCAACTAGCTAGTTCCTCCAGCAGAGCAAAATTCTTTAGCATAAATTGCAAGCAACCAATTTCAGCAAAACTGGACCATTTCAATGCCATGAGACACTAGAATTAAGAGACGTAGAGTATCATATGATTCAAATACTTAAAGATTGTCCAATTTTTTAAAAAATCAGYCACTTACTTGGAATACCAAGAACAGTACAGATATCATGGAGAACCCATATATCACATTGCAAATTTAAAACGTCAAGCGAATGTAATCTTGAAACAACGCCTGTAACAATAATAGACTGACCGTCGAAAACCGAAAAACAAACCAGTAAGATTACAGACACTTCTTTTAGTAACCCAGAGAAAAATGAATTCCAATTTCCTTCCACAAATATCGAATCTACAAAACATTGTGGTCGTGTGTACGTTTCAAAGTCGATTTCCTAGATCCCATCAGACTATCCAGAAACTTACAAGGCAAATCGACCGACCGCAAGAGGAAGATGAAAATGATCGGAATAGAGAAGAAAAGAGACGGGAAGATGCAATGTCAGCAGATTAAAAACCAGAAATTAAGAGAAGAGAGAGCGAAGCACTTACAGAGATGGGTTTTTCTTGTTGGCCCTTTTATTTTTAGTCCTCCGAGAAACAAATCTGAGAGCCTAAAAGAGCATTTGTAGATTAGTCTCGAGATAAGAGAAAAGCTTGAAGCTTTATATATGCGTAGGTTATCCTACATCATACAGCAACAAAATAATAATAATCAAAAGAAAAAAAAATTAAGAAAAAATGGGAAAAAAAAACTGAGAGAAGTTTGGTGAAATATAAAGTGGGTGGCGTAGGGTGCCCTCTCCCTAATCGATCAGCCAAAAAATCCCCATCTTTAACGGGTGGTGGTGGCACGATCTCACACACCTCCCAATCTCTTACTCTGCCCATTCTTCAGTTGCTTCGATCATATATATACCCACAATGTACAGCGCCTGATGCGAAACCAAATCCAACACCAGCGTATCTCCACCGTTAAATTCGTACTACCATTGACATTGGTGGGACCCGATGGCTGACCGACGGAAATCGGTCAGGAAGAATATCAGAATTCACCTAAGTTCGGTAGGCGATCGCTTCAAAACTGGGAAATAGAAAGGAAAACGGAAAACGGAAAACGAAAGAGCTTCTTTTCAGTTTCTAATTGCGAGTGATACTTTTCGGAAACTTTTGGTAGTACAGTTTCAGACAATTTATTAATTTTTCCGAGGATAGACTTTTGACTTACACGTTCATGAGGTTGAAGAGTTTGGTGGAGAAATAAATAAACCCTAATGCATCTTGTGTTGGTAAAAAAGGCCATATATTGTACTACTTAATTTGAGTCCGGGAAGATCCTCGATAGTCGATCGTGCGCCACCGCGGGAGCAATTGGAAAGATTTTGATGACTGTCATCGAAACTACGTCGGATTTGGACTGATTTGATTGCAGGCGAAATGGCTCATCGTCTCCAAGCGCATCTGATGAGAATGAGATTTTGATGGAAACCTGAGGAGCAAGAAATGGTTTCCGTGGACATACAGCAGCCCGTTAATATCCGGTTGGGCCTAGTCAAGCGATTCCCGCCAATGGATACAAATGGGCTGGGCCTACGTTTACTGATATTGGGCCTAGTTTTGGTAGAGGATATAAATCAGTTCTAAAAATTGTAAAATCACTCATTATTATTATTAATGGTTGATTTAATTATTATTTTATTATTTGGATTCAGCTTCATATTAACTTTAAATGTCAACCTGAATTTAGCTCAACAATTAAGACATCTAATTCATTCTTTCGAGATCGGAGGTTAGATTTTCCATTCCCACAATTGTTGTACTAAAAAAAATAATTGAGTAATATAATTTTTTAATGCCCTTTAAACTAGATCTCATTATTGTTAGCTTGGGTTCTTCTACCATGAAATTGTGACTTGTGAGTAAGGAACTAAGAGAAGTGATTATTGTAGACCAATGGTAAATTTTCACATTGAATGTGTGAAATAGTAATGACATATATATATTGGTAAATACATGCAAAAGGATAACACATGAAGATTTAAAGTGCATGGAATTACAAACAAACAAATTTAAATGGGCAGAGTGTCTGTAAGGCTAAGGCTAAGGCTAAGGTTGAGTAGTAGAGGTTTTAGTTGTAGTTTTAGCATGATCAGTGGACTGATCATCAGCCCCATGGTTTCCCATGCCAAAGCCCATTCCCATCCCAAACCCCATTCCCATGCCGAATCCCATTCCCATGCCTTGTCCTCCTCCATTCCCGCCGCCGCCGCCGCCAATGCTATTTGTGTACCCTCCAAATCCCCCTCCCTCCCCTTTACCATATCCTCCCCCTCCATTTGAACTACTTTCTCCTCCCCCTCCACCGCCGCCTCCTCCTCCTACTCCACTACCTACGCCGCCGCCAAAACCACTGCCGTAACCATTGGAACCTGCTGATCCTCCACCGCCGCCGCCGCCTCCAGCTCCACCGCCACCTACACCACCACCTCCCCCAAACCCACTTCCATGACCATACGCCTCCCCTCCCCAAACAGAATTACCACTACCGCCGCCGCCGCCGCCTCCTCCGCCGCCACCACCTCCTCCGCCGAGGCCAAACCCTGCTCCGAAGCCCATTCCTTGGCCGTAACCATTGCCACCCCCACCACTGCCGCCGCCTCCTCCTCCGCCTCCACCAGCCCCAACACCGCCGCCGGCGCCATATCCACTGCCATGACCAGACCCACCTCCCCCAGCCCCTCCCCCGGACCCTCCCCCTCCGCCGCCACCATTACTTCCTCCATAACCTTCACCATGGCCGGACCCAACCCCACCAACTGAGTTCCCTTCGCCGCCGCCGCCACCGCCACCTCCTCCACCCCCAAAGAAGCTTCCGCATCCCCGCCAATATGGGCAATATTGTTCATTGTTAAATCCCCAGCCGCTTTCACCTCCCCCATACCCCAAAAAAGTTCTGCTTAAAACAAGAATCGTGACACAGAAAAATCTGAAACGAAACTCACCCATTGTTGGCTTTGCGCCACCAAAAATTGGATTGGACTGGCTTGATGTTCCCCATGTTTTCTGGTTTGTGCCTTATAAAGGGGAAGTGGCACGCCTTTACTGGTACTAATCATCAGTACTAAGTTTACTGTGTTTCAAAAAGGCATGAAATCTGCGGGACAAAAAAAACTATATTTATTTGTCAAGAAAAGTCTTATGCATCTCTAAAGCTAAACTACACACCCAACTCAACTCAAAAAGTTCCTTTTTTGTTTAAATAAAGTAAAGGAAAATACTTAGAAATTTCCGGTAACAACTATTGTCCTATATATTGTACTGATTTTCCTTAAATGTTATGATAATTAAATGAGATAAATATAAAAATATTTTTTTAAAAAAACTAATCACCTTTGAAACATTCGACTCTTAATCATATATATAAATAAGTCTTTTTTTTTTTTTTTGAGAATCATATATAAATAAGTCTTGCTGTCAAGAAGTAAGCATTTTTCTTAAATAAATATATCTTTCCAGAAATTCCAAGAACAAAAATTAATTAAAATATAGTCTCCTGGTCAAACTATTTCGTAAAATAAAATAATTAAGTTGAGATTTTTGACCGTTGATGCAGAAATTTGGCCTTTGGGATCTCGCCAAATTCGAACAAGGGACCGATGAGACCTGCAAAATATAATAGCACTAGTACCGGTGTGGCGGCTCCGATGCTTAAGTTTTTAGGGTTTGGTTCACTCTTCTATTTATAGAAGTTGAATTCTATCTTTTAGGGTTTACCCTAGTCGAATCCTTGTAGGCTCTAAGTCGAATCGAGAATCAAGGTAGGACAATTCGGATGGGACTGCGAAACGGGCGGGATGAACCGCTACAATTCTCAGTCGGGAGGTCGAGAACTGCTTGGTGCCGAGGAGGTCTCGACACTGAGGCCTGGTCGGCTGGGGGCCAGCTTGGATATAGTCGGGTGCCGGCCCCCTTTTCCTGGTTCGTGCTTTCTCTCTAGTTTCCTTCGGCCCTCGTCGCTACTACTCGGCGCCGACGGCCACTGGTCAGCTGGGGGCCGACTTGGATCGTCGGGTGCTAGCCCCCTTTTCTTGGTTCGTGCTTTCTCTCTGGTTTACTTCGGCCATCGTCGTCGCTTGTTCCGTTCTCCTTTTCTCTTCCCATAACATTGACATTTCTTCCATGGTTTTAATTTTTATCATGGTCTTAGTTTTGGTGGCTCTTGTAATTGCTTATTTTGAAAGAAAAATATCGATGAGTTTATACCCACCATTTATACGGACCGTAAATAAAAATTTGATAATGCTTAATTTGTTGAGAAATATAAAAAATATTTACCAACACTTAAGTCGTGATCGGTTAGAATTTATCTTTCACTATTAAAAAGATTGATAATTTTCTATTTAAAAAAGATATTAAAAAATCTCATTTTATGCTTTGCTTTCTCTTATTTGACAAAAGTTTAAAGGTTAACAAAAGATGGTAACAACAAATAACACCTAATTAACTTTAGATATTAACAAAAAAAAAAAAACTTTAGGTATTATTAAAAAATATTTCCTTTCATGTATCTTTCATTTCTATTTTGTAAAAAATTTAATAATAATCAGTTCCAATCTTAACCCTTTAAGTATTGTTGTTTTGGAAATCTAAGCTATACATGTTTACCATAAATAATTTTTGAAATCATTATTTAAATTTAAAACTTTTTAAATAATAAAACATATATGTTATTATAAATTATAATATATTTTGTTTAAGAGGAAAGTTAAAAAAAAAAACGTGATATAACTAGGAAGACGTTTCAAATACCGCACATGGGTTATGGGTATGATTTTTTTTTTATTCTTTTCATTGATTAAAAAATCAAGTTAGACAAAGAATATTAGTTTAAAACCTGATCTCACTAACTAAATATATTTTTTTCGAATTTACAACCTCTTGGTTGGAGGTATATGTCAATTACTGCTGAGCTATGCTCGTTTTGACTCACATTAAATTAATATTATTGAACTTAACAATTTTAATTCATAAATTAGTATATATATTTAAATTTTTAAATATACTCTTTATATGAGTGTCAATTTTCTTAGACCATCACCATGTGATAAAAACAGTCATTTTAAATTCCGTTTTTCTTTTATATATATATATATATATATATATATATATATATAATCTAAGTGTAAAATATAGTTGTCCATGTGACAAGTGTTATTTCCCTACATGCATTTAATTAACCAAATAATTATTAAATAGTTAAATTTCTTAGATAGTGGAGTAGGTGACAGCATTCTTCAAGAATGCCTACTGAAATTGTCATCCATGATCGAAGCTTCAAGTCTAATACAAGGAGGCCCCCATGAGATTTATTTTATAACATTTTGATTTAGTCCAGTCTGTCAGTATACCCTTTTTTTCTTTTCTTTTTCAAATTGATTGTATTTAATTTATTCATGCAAATTGAATATTCATTAATTTATATAAGGCATGGCCGCTTGAATATATTGTTCAACCACGACAGAGAAGCACTCCACTTCTTTGGCCACGTCAAGGAAACTGGAAAGTGGCCTTGTTATTTTTTTTTTAAATACAAATTCAATAACAACATTTGAGAAATAATTATACTTTTGAGTTCACCTCTAGAGTTATTTTTAAACTCAAAGATTTGGAATTTGGATTTGGCATTTGATGACTTGGACGTTCCTTATCCCCTATAGACCAACATAAATTCTTTTCGGATATGCTTTATATTCACTCACATAATTTAAGATTGTTCGTAACTACGTACCATTAACTTTGGAGTTCTTATAATTGAGATACAAGTCTACTTTGTTGTTATAGGGTATATATAGTTACGGTCAATTCTTTCAAGTATTTTTTAACCATGCAAGCATGATCTCAAGATCTCTCTCATTTGAATGCGATGTCGGTTTATTCATGTACTCCTTCTCTACGTAGGTGTCATAATTTAAAAAATAAAAAATATATATTCATAATAATAAACCCCAAGCATTTCTTAAGATTCAATGTATTTCATTTAAAAATTATAATTTGTAAAAAATTTATATTTTAAAAAAATATTTGTACACTTTTTAAGCATATATATTGAAAAAAGAAAACTATTTTGATTGATAGTAGAAATTACCAAAAAGTTGGAGAATTATTGCAGCTTGATTATGTATATATGTAAGAAACAAAACGAAAAAGGGTACGTAAAGGACAAAACACAAAAAAGGAAAAAAAAAAAGAAAAGAAAAAATAATGGTTCATATTTTTCGAAGCCCAACGAAGAAAAAATCAAGGAAGAGACTTTGAAAAAATATGATAGAATCTTTTTTTCCATCAAATCTTGATTTGTATTGCTTGAAAGTTTGAAGTTGTAGTGCTCTCCAACACACACAAGGAAAATTTAAATATAATCTATTAATATATTATTGCATGGCTTTTATTAAAAATAAAAATTAAGAATTTGGTTGGACTTTGATTTGGCTAAGTTCAGACACAGCTTAACCTGCTTCCATTGCTTTTGATCAATGGAGTATGAACTACTCCCACCCAGCAACTCTCTCCCAAAAGATATTATCTTCTAGATATGCCTTTTCATTTTTTATGTATTTATTGGTCTGCAATTCAATGAATATATATCCTAATTTTTCAAACACCATGGAATTATATATGGTATATAATTGGATGAGACTAGGCCAGTGTAGTTTTGATTGAATAGGTTATTTAGAGTGTGTTTAGGGAGAAAATCGTTTTTTTTTTCATTTTCAAAATCATTCCTCTTTAAACTGATCATGTTTGACAAATTAAAAGATTGATTTCAGGAAAACTTAAAATTATTTTAAATTTATTTTTAAGGTAAATAATGATTTTGAAAAATCAATTATGCTTAGGGTGTGTTTGGGAATGATTTTGATATGGTACAAATTTTTTTTTTGCTATGGTCAAAATCATTTCCTTTCTTAGTCATGTTTGGAAAATTAAAAATTGATTTTAAGAAAGCCTAAAATTACTTTGGTACTACTTCGACAATGATTTTGAAAAACCAATCATACTTAAATCTCTTTTTTTTAATTACTAATTCTACCATCACTCCCAAACACACTTAGTGATTTTGAAGGAAAAAAAATAAGAGATTTTAGTACAATTGATTTTTCAAAATCACCATCTAAATGATACCTTAAAAATCAATTTAAAATCATTTCAAGTTTTTTTAAAATCAATTTTTTAATTTGTCAAACATAATCAATGGGAAGGAAAGTAATTTTAGGAAAGTAATTTTGACAATGGTAAAATTGATTTTCATCCTGCTAAGTTAATCACTTCCAAATCCACCCTTAAATTTCTATTTTTCAAAATCACTCATTCTACTATCACTCCCGAACACATGGACAAATAAATATAATGTAGTATGCGTATCTGCTTGTAAATTGGTTGATGGCCTGACGGCTTCTAAGGTAAATGTCATAAAATTTCTCTCTCCGTTCAATTTATTATAATTCACTAATTAATTAAAGAAATTGATAAAAGCTCACTAATTTAACAAAAATCAAATTTCTCAAATTAAGTTTGATTAAGGTATAGAATCAATTGTTAGATAATTCTATCAAAACTTTTAAATTTAAGACAAAAAATCAACTGTAATTTCGTTTTTGTCTAAATTCTATCAATTATTTCATAAAAAAAATATTTGTTTTCTAACTCATTAATGAATTTTTCAACAATTTTTCAAATTAAAGTCTATCGAAAGGTAAAATTTGCAACACAGGTGTCCCCAAGAGACAACTTTGGAGGCTTGAGGCTTTAAAGAATAACCTTAGCCATCGAACAAAGACTCCTTGCGTATGTACGAGTATGGGGCAATGCATAGATCCAGATATAGGGGCATAAAGCCCAAATGGTTCCCGACTCCTAGGTAATAATTTGAGTATGGGAAGATCCTCGATTGTGTGCCACCAAGAGAGCAATTGGAAAGATTTTTATGCCGGATCATATATTGTATATCATTTTGATTGGGTCGCCAATGATCTAACTTCTTTCCTAGATGGTTGGAAGGTTCGATCCTCCATACTTAAAAAAGGTTGACGTTAATAATAATATAATGTTTTTAATAACATATATATATTGGTAAAGTTAACCAAAACACAGCTCAATAGATTAATACATATATAGTAATAATATATATATATAGGTAAAACTAACAACGAATTAAAGTACATGTATCTAACTGTAAAACTAACAACGAATTAAAGTACATGTATCTAACTATGAGATTGAGAGTTTTAATTCTCACCTCCATGTGTTGTATATATTAAAGACTTAAACAACGAGTGACAGTGGGCATAGCGTGTCTAAGGTTGAGTATTTGAAGTGATTTTAGTTGTAGTTTTAGCTAGATGATGAATGCATTCATCAGCTCCATGGTTTCCCGTGGCTTGTCCTCCTCCATTCCCCTCACTGTGCGCGTCCTCCCCTTCGTTGTCGTCGTCGTAGTATCCGCGGCCATTGCGAATTTCTCCTCCACCCATCCCAATACCGGCGCTGACACCAGCAGCCCTAGCACCGGAGCCGATGCCAACGCCGAAGTTGGGGTCAAATCCTAGTCCACCAGGCCCAACACGGACGCCGGTGCCGGCGCTGACGTTGGAGCCAATTCCAATACCAATACTACCAGTACCTCCCCCAGTCCCTCCTCCAACGGCCTCAATGAAGCTTCCGCATCCCCGCCAATATGGGCAATGATATTGTTGATTGTTAAATCCCCACCCGCTCTCACCTCCTCCATACCCCAAACAAGCTCTGCCTAAAACAAGAATCGCGATCACGACACACAAAAATCTGAAACTTGCAAACTCACCCATTATACGTTGGCTAACAAACTTGGGTTGCAGTGGCTTGAAGTTGATGTTCCCCATCTTTGCTGGTTTGAGCCTTATAAAGAGGAAGCGGCACGCCCTTTACTGGGCCTGGGCCTAATCATCAGATCACTACTAACTCTACTGTGTTTCAAAATGCCGTGAAATCTGCGCGACAATAAAACAAAATAACAACATCACGACTGTTGTGGCGAAAGGATTTGGTAAAATTAATAAAATAGCAGTCACGTTTAGGTTTTTTCAAATATAATATTAAAAAAAAAAACGATGTATATTTGTAATACTAATATTAGTGTTTGTGCAATAGTATGTGATATACATCTAATAAATATTATTGATATAAGTGTTTGATTTACTATCAAAATATTATCTAATATATTACCAATGATATAAGTGAAATTTTTTTGCTATATTTGAAAATTTTTAAAATAAGTGACATATTTTGAAATACATAAAAGATTTTTGCTACTCAATGCAATTTAAAAAAAAACGATATATTCCTTAATCATATAAATTAGCTCTTACTAGAAAAAACAAGTAAATATTTTTTTCCTTCAATAAATATTTCTTTCAAGAAATTTCTGGAACAAAAATTAATCGGAAATTGAGATATATGACTCCTTTAATAATTCATTGACACGACCCGTCCCAAAACACCTACTAGTCTTAGAACGAGTCGCGCCGACCACAGAACCTGTCTGACTATGGAGTCCATGATCAACTTTTTCTTTCTTTGACCTGAAACTTTGACTAACAAATTCTGGATGGGAGCATACTAAAATTATATCTTTATAGAAAAATTATTCTTACATCCATTCTAAATATTCTTTTCTATCAAAGGGTGCGGATAAATACTTTATACAAACAATTGCTTGCATACAGAATGTCATGCAACTCTTGAACTATTCTGGATGGCAGAAACTGATCTACTTTCCTCCTAAAACTCAAAAGCTCAAGTATAGCCTGAGAGAAAACAAATGATAAAGAGTGAGCTGAAAAACAAATGATAAGAAAGTAATATCGTAAAATTTCTTACATATACAATTGAAATTTCAGGTTTTAAAACAAACTTCATAAAACTAGAGTAACAAACATTCTCATTTAGATTTCATAAAACTTATATAATTAAAAACTCAGTAAACTTTATCATAAATGAACTTGTAACAAGGATTTTCTTTCTAGGTAAACTAAAAAGGCAACACTCCCAAGCCCAGGATTTGGATTCGGATTTGGAATCCGAATTTGGCCCTAATCACCTCAGCATTCCCCTGCGTCCCCTACGACCTAGTTATGCCAACTTCTCAACCTGCTCTGAAACACATTCTAAAACATATAAAACATCCTTCTTTCAAACATAAAACAGATAGATAAAACTGAACACCACACATGTATTCATATTCTATTCTAGTCTACTGGCATAGAGTAATCTCAATACACACAATAGAATAATTCTCTCAACGCAGAGTAAAATAGTTCCAATGACCTTCTATTTCTGGGTATACTATAGAAACACATTCTTATAGCATACGGGTAATTATCTGGATACAATAACATGATGATTTGAAAACTCTTCTCAATCTCATAAACTGTTCTAAAATTATTTTCTTCTTTCTGAGAACTTTTCTAACTTTCTCAAATCATTTCTAACATCTTTCTTTCTAACAACATTTCATGAAATTCTAAAATCATTTTCTGAAATCTCTTTCTAAATAACATTTCAAACATTTCTCTAAAATCGTAAAACATTTCTAAATTCTCATAAACATTTATAAATTCTCAAACAAACACATTTTCTTTCATTCTTAGCAGAAATGCTAAATCACACATAATAATAGATATAATTTTTCAGAAATTCTATAATAGTAGATATCTAAAACATTTAATAAGGTAATTACTCACAAATCCTTGAAACCAGGTCATTCACCGCTCCAATTTCTGTCTGACCTGAAATATATTAATCCAATATCAAATTAATTCATGCTTTAATCAAATATAATTTCAACATACTCTTATTCCCAATATAAATTATATTATCTTTCAAATTACCCCATGTATCAAATTAAATAATTCATTCTCTCTCTTTGTTGAAAACCATAACTTTTTCTTTTTCTTATCACCTTACAAATGTAGGTCCCACAAATACAATTCAATTTCTTTTCTTTTCAACTTCACACGTCAAAGCCCCCAATTTTCAACAATTTCATTTTCATTCTCATTTTTTTAAACTACCATTATTTCTCTCTCTTCCATTCAACAACCCCTCTTTTTTCTTCAAAACTCAACTCACGTCCTCTTTTCAATCTTCTTTCTACCATTTCCATGGTTAATTTCTACCACCCCTATACTACATTTAATTTCTACATTTTACAACTATTATTCTCCTCCAAATAACCTTAACAAGCTCATAAGTAAAAGTTTAACTCAAACTTCTATGGAAGTCTAAAATCCATCGTCTCTAAGAAACTTCTTGAACATAAAATAGAACAACCCATAAACCCATTTCCACTTTCTATTCTTCCAAAATCATTCAAGAAAACAAGTTTAATTATCAAGTTTTGCTCATTTTAATAGTGGAAATATTCACTTTTACCTTCAAATACAGGATTCCCGGCCTCTAATCCTCAGAATTTTTTGTCAAAACCCTGCTCTCCCTCTCCTCTGTTCATCCTCTTCATCTTCGTTGCTTTCCCCTCTTCTTTTCTTTCTTTTGCTAAACTTTTCTTCCCTTCCTCCTTAATTAGCCACATGTCCACCCTAAACCACATATGTCCACCCTAAACCACATGCCTTTCACAAAAATTCTCAAATCTTTCTTTGTTTTTTTTCTTCTTTTTCTAGACCCAAAAAGACCATAATGGSCTTATAACTTTGCCCCTTTTTTTTTTCCTTTTTAGAAATCAATGACAAATGGGTCCTTATATTGATTTAGGATTTATGACACCCTTTTGAAAAAACTTAGTTTGTGACCACACTTCCCCTTATTATTTACCTCTTATATTTTTATCACTGGAAAAAGACGAATTTATCCTCATGGTCAATAAATAAGAATTTATGATACATTAAATTTTCACCTAACTATTCAACCCAACTCCAAATTGTCAAACCATCGATTACTCATGTTTTACATATGAGTATTTGTACAATACGTATGTGATATACATCTAATATACTAATGATATGAGTGTCTGATATACTGTCGATATACTATCTGATATACTCTGATATAAGTAAAAATTTTGCTATATTTAAAAAATTTTAAAAATAGGTAATATATTCTGAAATACCATATTTCTTAATCATACAAATAAGCTCTTGCTAGCAAAAAAAAAATGTAATTATTTTTTTCCTTCAATAAATATTTCTTTCAAGAAATTTCAGGAACAAAAATAATGGGAAATTGGATATGTGACCTCCTCAATAATTTATTTTGAATTTATGACCCATTTTTGAAAAAATTTAGTTTGTGACACCACCTCCCCTTATATTTTACCACTTCAATTTTTTATTACTGGGAAAAGACGAATTTACCCCAGGATTAATAAATAATTATTTATGATATATTAAATTTTTACCTAACTATTCTACCAAACTCCGAATTGTCAAACCATCAATTACTCATGTTTTACATATGAGTATTTGTGCAATACGTATGTGATATACATCTAATATGCTACTCATATGAGTGTCCAATATACTGTCGATATACTATCTAACATACTCTGATATAAGTGAAAATTTTTTCTATATTTGACAATTTTAAAAATATGTGACATATTTTGAAATACATAAAGATTTTTGCTACCCACCACAATTAAAAAAACACTATATTTCTTAATCATACAAATAAGCTCTTACTAGCAAAAAGAAAGTAAGTATTTTTTTCCTTCAATAAATATTTCTTTCAAGAAATTTCAGGAACAAAAATTAATGGGAAATTGGGATATATGACACCTTCAATAATTTCATTTTGGATTTATGATCCCTTTTGAAAAAACCTAGTTTGCGACTACACCTCCCCTTATTTTTGACCTCTTAAATTTTTTACAACCGGGAAAAGATGAATTTACCCTCATGGTTAATAAATAAGCATTATATTAAATTTTCACCTAACAATTCTACAAAACTCCAAATTGTCTCAATTACTCATGTTTTACATGTGAGTATTTGTGGAATACGTATGTGATATACATCTAATATGCTACTGATATACTGTTGATATATTATCTGACATATTCTGATATAAGTGAAAAATTTTGCCATATTTGAAAATTTTAAAAATAGGTGACATATTTTGAAATACATCAAAGAGTTTTGCTACCCACTACAATTAAAAAAAACACTCTATTTCTTAATCATACAAATAAGCTCTTACTAGCCGGAAAAGAAAAGGTAAGTATTTTTTTTCCTTCGACAAATATTTCTTTCAAGAAATTTCAAGAACAAAAATTAATGAGAAATTGGGATATATGACCAATTCAATAATTAATTTTGGATTTATGACCCCCTTTTGAAAAAACCTAGTTTGTGACACCAGCTTCTCTTACTTTTTACCTCTTCAATTTTTATCATTGGAAAAAGACAAATTTACCCTCATGATTAATAAATAAGTATTTATGATATATTAAATTTTCACCTAACTATTCCACAAAACTTCAAAATTGTCGAACCATCAATTACTCATGTTTTACATATGAGTATTCGTGCAATACGTATGTGTATACATCTAATATGCTATTGATATTAATATAATATAATTTTTTCTCAAATATTATTTTAAAAATGTTTATGATAGTCAATGTAATATTAAAACTTTTCAAAATATAGAGGTATTTTTAAAACATATGATAAAGTTGGGAGGTATTTTTGCAGTTCAACCTTTATAATAAAAACGCAAGCTTATATTATATAATATTATAACATGAAATCACATAAATTTGTAAACAGCACACAACAACACTTCAACTAAATAACAAATACTGAAGCCAAATCAGCTGCTAACTTCACACTCAGCGAAGACCACATAGAAAGTAGATTTGATAAAAAAGAACAACACAATTTGAACTCAGGGCAGTCCACCGCCAAATCCTCCACCGCTTCCTCCTCCGGCTCCGCCGCCTAAAATTCCACCGCCACCTCCTCCGCCAAACCCGCCGCCGCCTCCACTTCCGAGCCCTCCAATTCCAGACCCAAAACCCCCTCCACCTCCACTGCCAAAGCCTGAACCACCGCCTAGTCCACCGCCACCGCCGCCACCAAACCCTCCGCCGCCGCCAAGCCCGCCACCAAATCCAGGAAAGAATTGGAAGGGCAATGTCTTCTCATTCTCATTCTCATTCTTAATGTCTCCCCCATTTCTTACAATCTTTCTGGGCTCTGAGGCACAGATAAGTGCACCCAGAAGCACCAGCCACAGAACCTTAGAAGCCAAAGCAAAAGCCACCATATTTTTTAAAGAGGGATTTCTTTGGATGTGAATTGGGAGTTTTTCAGAAGGAATTTATAGAACTTTGAAAACTGAAAAATAAGGAAAAGAAATGGCTGAGATGACATAAAAAAATTTCTCAACATATCATCCATTATCCGTGCCTTTGCCTTGCCAGGGCAGTTCAATTTACAAAGCCAGAAGAAGCTGCCTTTTAGTTGAGACTTCTCATGCATTCCTTGTTGATGAGCAGTTCCTGATCAGGAATATTCTTCCACTTTTTTGGTTGCCCCATCAGTTTTCCCATTACATCATTTAAATTCTCTTTCGACCAATCACAAAGATTGAACTGTTGAAGCTCTTTTTTGTAACATTTTCTGACCTTTTAGGTAAAGTGAGATAACTTCTTCAATTTGAGTAGTTCAAACTTCTCTCTCTGTCTCTTTTGTAGATGAATGAGATTGATTAGATCGTACATCAACTTAAACTCTTGAGTTCTCTTTAATTATATTTGAACTTCATTTGATTGATCATTGAAACTTCCTAACAGACTTTGAATTCAATTTCTTCTCTTTTTTAACTCAAAGACTGAGTTATAAGCAAAATGTGCAAGTATTAATAGCCGAAACTGGGGTAGGTAATTGGACGAATTTGATTAAAGAGCTCAAGTTGAGCTTTTTGAACAACTTATGTTCGAAAGGAAAACTAAGCCTATGTCCGCTAGATCAATCACCAACAAGAATATCGTGTCACCCGCTCGTGACAAGTGTAAGATTTTGAAACTTAGAGAGGCCTCGTGTGACGACCACTGGCCCGACCACAAAGAAGCRCATTTCTAGGGACTGGCAGCTCATCTCTTAAGGAGGTCGATGAGGTATAAACCCTGAGATAAAACTGCTGTCCCAGGTACTGCCTTGCCCAGCTCTCAGATCTTACATTCCACATTCCTACATTATCCAGTGCCATATAGATTGCTGTCCACGACTTTGGATAAACCTGAATTTTATGAAAAAACAAAGGTCATCAAAAGATCATATTTAGAGACAAATACAGATTGAGCTAGCTCTTGGATTCATAGCAGAAATTACCTGAGTCGTGCAGCGGGCAACCGTGTCCCGCAGATTGTATCGAGCTCTGCTGGCAGGAGTCCACTGGCCTCCATCCATCCTGATCAAGCCAGCAACATGTTAGTGAGACTAGAACTGATAACTTGGTTTAAAATATGAAATTATAAGCCTTACCCGACAACAAAGAACGAGTAGCCATTGATATGCCAAGACTGCACAGTGTCTTCCCAATTTTGCAACACGATTTCGATGTATTCTCGAAAGTTAGAACCCATGACAGAGGTCTGTAGGTAGGCATTTCCCCAAGTGGGAGTGGTGGGAATGCTGTTGAGATTGAAAACTCCGGAGATCTTGAAGAAATCTGCCAGTTTCAAGGGAGTGTCCGCTTGAACAAATGAGACACTGTTGACAGCAAACCTCTGCTTACCATTGATAATTGGGGCCGAGTTCGCTAGTATTATTGTTCGGCTCGTTTTAATCAGTCCATAATGGTAGGAGCCTTGTGGGTTGGGTCTAGGTCCACTTGCAGTCAGATTCCAGCTGATTGCAGAAGAGAATGAAACTAGATTTTAACAAGCAGTGTAGCCACACAATTTTGCAAAACAGGAATAGTACATTTATATTTACAACTTCCATGTTTTGCAAGTTTTCCCCTAGTTAAGCAAAGTGAAGGTAACTAATAATTAACAATGATTCAACCATATGGCCAAAAGAACATTTTAGATTTTACTAGACTAACAAGCACTTGAAATGCTAATAGAAGAGTGAAAGCCTTTGAGAAGCAGAGGAAATGAAGTTGACAAAATACCGGATAGATCTGGCCTGCTGGAGAGACCAAGCGATCTCAGTGGTCGGGCCACCTGGAACTGGACCGGAAATTTTCTGCCATGAATTGCTGTAGTGAAGTACAGCTGTTGTCGTGAGTATCGGAGAGGTAAACCGAGACGAAACGACAACGTAGTAATCCTTAGGAGGCTGATCGGCAGTGACCAACACAGAGTAGGATTGCCCCAAATGAATGTCGAGAGAGGAATACGTGTTCTGGAGAGTGTGAGATCCTTCTACCTCCACCAGTTTCATCAAATGGCCCTGAATTCTGAAGTTAATGGAAGCTGAAAGACCCACATTTGATATTCTGAACCTATATGTCTTCCCTGCAAACAAATATCAAGATCAATAAGGAGAACCCCAAAAGCCTCCTGTTTGCAACAAATAGAAGTTCTCTCATTTTGAACTGCACATCAGTGTGAGTTATAGAAATGTTATGAAAAAAGTTGACAGCAACGATTGTTCTTCACCTGGATCAACATTGAATGTGTATCCATTCCACCCTCGACCGTTGATTAGAAGCCCATCTGGAGATGGAAGATTTCGACCGCTATCCAGAACTTGTCTCAAAATCTAAAACAGAACAAGACACCAACTTTAACAGAATTCAAAAGAATGAAGAATTCGTTTTCTTGTTCTACTTTCTTAACTGCATTTCTCAAGCATACAGAGAATGGAGAACAAGGAACAGGGAAAAGAATCGGGTACGGAATCTTCGTGGCAGAATTTGATTAGAGTTAGAATGCTTACATAGTGATTGGTCTTGAACCAGTCACCTGCTAGCACTGTGAAGTCGCCTGCAGGAGGAGCAAAAGGAACAGGAATTCCAGGGCGGCTCCAAATTCTGATGCCTCCAAATGCTCCAGCTGCTTTGTGGAATGCTGTTGATGGGAAGTAGAAGTAACTGCCAATTTGGTCTTTTGCCTGCATAATATAAGTGAAGTTCCTGAATGGAGGAATAGCACAAGTAGTCCCATAAACTCCATCCTGCCATGAGTTCCTCCTTTGCTGTAGCCCATTCCTGCAAAATCAAACGCACACGAAATGGTCAGATTTCGTTCTGGTTAGAAGTTGGAATCTCATCCCGATACAATGTATTGTCCATGTTGAATCCCATCCCAAAATACTAAATCACAACTAGATTCAAAAGCTTAAGTTGTTAAGGTAATTTTAGATCATGTCTAGAAGTTGGATTTTAGAACTACTTTTGTTTGTTTGTTTGTTTCCTAGAAACGTATATGGACAATCGTTTTTCGAGTTTATTTTTGCGTATTCTGTTCTTGTGTTGAAAAGGCAATAAAGTTGAAGGTACAGAAAATGGAAAACGTAATGATTTCTTCACCTTACTCAGGACCCATCAGATTTAATGCAGCTGAGATCAATAAAATTGGTACGCCATACAGACCAAGATTCAAAGATGATAACTTTGCCTTATTGTAGCAATTAATGTGGTTTCACTGGGGAAACTTTGTAGAATGATAAATAAATAAATAAGAGATGCAAACATCTAGCATGTGAACACTGAGAGCTACCATAAGATGCCCACTAGTGGAGAAGAATATTTTAATCTTACAGAAAAATTAATGCAAGGAATCAATAAGATCTAAGAGGGTCATCTAAATTAGTAGGGTCTGAGAATTTGCCTCAGACCATCACAGCAACAGGTCAGATTAACTAATCTAAACGTCATTAAGGTTGTTTTAATGACACCCATGTAACAGAAGCAGCTACCAAACAAAAATAATAGACATAAAAAGAGTGATTAAAGAGGATGTTTGCTTTATAAAATTTACCCCCACCACCAAAAAAATTTTTAAAAAAAACAGCCTCATTTCAACAACTCACTGACTTTACTGCGCTAAAACTTAGATCTAGAGAATGGAGCAACGGTGAAAGTAGAAACTTTCCCAAGTTTCCATTTTCCCTCCCAATCCGACTTATTGGCACATTTCCCTATGTAATTGAACGCAACAATTTTACATTTGCTACTCCCAAACGAAGAGTAAATGCACATCATTTGCAAAGCAACAGACAGAGAATTAATTTCCTCGGTCCTGGTTTTCCAGTTTCCCAGTAACAAAACAGAAAATGCAAGCCATTAAACCAATAGAAAGTAATATATGATCAGTATAGTTACCAAGAAAGGAGAAACGGCTCCTTAAGATAGTTGTAAACATTGATAATCAAATTATCATTAGTAACAGCATCGATCTGAGGCCCTGGGAACTGCCCATTGATCAAGATTCCCTGCCACATGTTCCCCACAACAACCAATAAGCTCCAAACTCATTCTTTTCAAGATACCATATTGAACACACAACAAGAAGTTTTGAGAAAAGAAGAAAAAAATGTCAACTTTTATCTCTAAGAAGAAAGCCCTTTCCAAATATATACATAGAAATGAAAGAAACAGAGCACCTGTTGCTTAACTCCAAGCGGGTAGATATCGCCATAAGTGACTTTCCACGTGAAAAACCTATATGGGTTATCAGCATTAGCCCCATTAACAGCTAAAAAAACCAAGATAATGAGAGAACAGAGTACTCTGCATTCCCTCATTGTAATAGAGAGAGTTCGATATCAGCTTGAACGAACAGAATGACAGATCTAGAAGAAAAGAGATTTTTCAGCAGCCTAAGTAGAGAAAAGAAAGGAACCAGAAACTGGCTTTCTCTCCCTAAATCTACAAAACTCTCTGTGTTTCTACGTTTGCTATAAGCTGAAAAGAACGTCTTGGATGTTACCCAGAAGGCAGTGTGGAGGCTTGTGAGTTGTCAGTGTTATAGTTTCACAGAAAGGCGTAGGAGATGCAATGAAATATGGAGGATGGTCCCTCCAATCAGCCACCGTCAATCTCAGCTTGTTATACGCCCAGTGGGGTAGGCGCATTGGCATGGACGGTCGTGATTGCGTTGAAAAATAAAATTCCATGAGATGATTGATGAAGACCAACTGAAATTTACGAGGGTTGCCCCTCTCACGTGCAGGTTGGATAATTGAAAAGCTCTGCCGATATAATTAAATGCAAGATTCTTCTACTGATACAGCACTCCCCAGTAAACTCACCGTCACGGGGGCTTATCACCGCCGCCGACGCCGCACCTCTCGACATTGAAATGCTCCGGCGGTCTCTCTCCCCAAGTTTCAACTTTCAAGTACATCGTCAAAAATACAAAAAATAAAATTAGTTTAGAGTTGAACTTAAAAAAATGATTTATAAGTTTTTTTTTTCCGTAAAACATGGGGGGTACGGGTAGGGTTGGAGAATCGAATATGGCAAATCTCTAATATATTTTAGTACTCAAAAAACCTAATTCACATACATAAAATTGAACTTAACTTTCATAAAACCATTAGATACAGTTTTTAAAGTTTTTGAAAGTTCTAAATTTATAATCTGGGCTTGAATTTTAAAGACAACGTTAATCTCTCCGAAGACAAAGGAAGGATGTGTAAAGATTCTTGTAAGAGGAGAAAAAACATGGAAACTTTACTCCCTTTTAATTAAAAGTCAACTAATCGACCTTGGCCTGTTTAAAAAGGAAAGAAAACAAAATACAATTTTAGTTCAGCATATTTAGTTTAGTTGCTTATATTGCAATAACAAAACAAAATCACATGCAGTAGGAGTATAGGCCGCACGTGCCTGTGTCGGATCAAAGTCCACTCAATCGGTAGGCAAGAGAACCTCAAATAATTTTCAATCTTCCGTAAGAGGAAAACCCTCTTTCAATCTTTCTGTGTTCCATTATCTTGCTGCCTTCAAATTTACATAATGTTTGTACCAAAAGATTCAACAAGAAAGTGCTGAAAAACACAGAAAGAACAAAATCTTAAACCCACGGTTTGGTTTTAAGCTAGATACAAAATCGCACGCGATAAAGCATGCATTTTGAAGCACTGCAAATGACCAAAAAACACGATTCGAGCAGGCTTCAACCATACAAAACTGACGACAAAAGCCTCACATTACAGGCTGCTTATTGTCAACAGCAGGCCATAATGATCACTGGGCAAAACAGGGAGCTCCAGTTCCTTCATCTCTTTTCCCACTTTCTTCTCCTTGGTGTATGATAAGCCAGGTATTGGATCAGTACCTATCATTTCAATGGAACTTGCCTTGTAATCTTGTAATTTACAAACAAATCGGTCCAAACGCTTTTGCAACGTACGGTTCCCAGATAGCATCTTGTTTGATTTGGTGTCGTATGTCCAACCGTTTTCGCCAGGCCTTAATTCTTCCCAAGCATCAATCCAGCCATCAGGAAATGGGAACCGACCGTCCAACTTGTCGTCCCAGTTCATGTCACCGCCAAAAATGACATTAGGAGACTCCTTGAGAGAGTCAATGGCTTCTTTGGCTTGAATTACGCGCTCTTTGCTATACATTTGATTCCACTTGGGAGGTGCAGGGCAAGGACTCTCAAGATGGCTTGTGGCAACTGTCAATGAAATCCCGTTTTGAAGTTCAAGATTGGCAATACAGAGTTCTCTCCCCATTATAGAATTGAAAAATGGTTTAACACTGAAGGATTTCACAGGCAGTTTGCTCAACTGCACATTAAAAGGATAAGGAATATCATTGATGCAAAACTACTAAAATCGAGCATAATACTATAACAACAATAGGTACTTCCCCTCTTCTACCTCTCTGCACAGACAACAAAAGAACTAAAACGAGAATAAGATTAGGAGATCTATATAGATGATAAACAAAAAAAACAATAGTACACAAAACCTAAGCTCATACAGAATTTCAAGAGTGAATGTGGTTGATAGGAATGCTAGACCTCTACTTATGGGAGAAAGATAGAAAAAAGTAATTAGTAGAGTTAGTTATATGGGAGTGTGGTGAGGTGTCTTGTGTGCAAGTGTCGGTCACATTTGGTAATAACAGACAAAATAGAAGTTTGTTGGGTGTTTCAGAAAGCAGTCACACCCATATTTGGGCATTCAGTCTAGTCTGTATTTTGGTCTAGAGTTTGCTCTTGGAAGGAAGGGTTTTCAACTTTCAAGCCTCTCAAAGAGCTTGGTGGTGGCATTCTTGTTGTTTTAGTGCATATTAATCCAATAGGTCATCTGAGACCTATTAATGATCGGGTCATGAGTCGAACCATAAGCGTACTGGAATTTAGAAGATCGAAGAAGCACTGTACTAAACTAACCATGTATACAACATTTGCCAGACAATCAATAAAAATAGTACTAATTCCAAAGTATTTCAACAAACGCTAATATACTCCAAATGTTCAAACAGCACTTCTCAATGATGAGGGAAATGTTAATTTATGCATTGAATCACTTGACAAACCCCAACACTAAATATTGTTGCGTTTATTTTTGGCAGAGGAGACAATTTGACATCATATCATCAACCATGTCGATTACAAAAAATTACACTTTGCAAAGCCAACCCAAAACATGCTTTAGTAATGTAGGAAATGAAAATATCAAGCAAATGAGGTGACAAAAAGCTCACCAGCAGACAAAAGTATCCCCTAGAATGAGCATCCTTAGAGACCGAGCAGCGATAAACTTTCCACCAGTTGAAAATCTGGAAGAAGTTGTATATAGCTGGGGTAACTTCCTGCGGCACATTGTAGATAGATGTAATGCAAAACTGAATTCTAGAAACTCAGACATGGATATAAAACTGAGGAGGGAAAACCTGAAAGCAAACAACATCTGGTGAATGGCGTTGGATAAGTTGTCCAAGGGCTCTCATTCTATTATGCATCTCCAAGTCTTCCCGGAACCAGACATTGTAACTCAAAATCTTAATCGACGTCAAACTTGTCCTAGTACTAGAATCCCCTGTCAGACACCAAGAATGAGACAAATTCCCTGGTCATATACTACAATACTAATGCGAAGACAATAATAAAACAAACCCATCTCAGCAACCGTCTTCCCCGATGCCTTAATGTCCCGAAATGCGCCTAATTCAGCGAAATCGTCATGACCCACCACAGGAACAGGATCGTCTAGTTTCCTTTTCTTGCAGGGCTGCAAGGGGAAGAACACAGACCCCACGGAAGAACCCGCATCCGCATCTTCGCTGATTTCGATCAAATCCTTGAAACTGGAAAGCGATAGGGCTGGAGCCCTGGTGCCACAGAGTTCGCAGTCGGAACTGTTATAAGGGTTCAGAAAGGTGCAGGCCTTGCAGGACCATTTAGGGGCGGAGGAAGAAGATGGTGGTGGTGGCGGTGGGGAGGAAGGTGATAGACAGATTTTGCAGGCTGTCTTTTGGGATGGTGAGTTGATGAAGGTGCACTTTTTGCAGGACCAAGTAGACATCGGGACGGAGAGACTGCGAAATGTTTGAAAATTTGTCACTGGGCAATGGAGAAAGCGGCCGAATGAGAAAATTAGCGAATCTGGTCTTGTTTGAAACTGAAACATTAACGATTTGGGGGTAAAAAAAAACGATTTCCTAGACTTTTGCTGCTTTAGTTCCTATTCAATTTCAGTCTGACGCTGGACGCCGGCGCGCTGCCGCTTGCGGAATGTGACGTATCCGACGTCGTTATCTTCATGGAGCAAAAGTTGTGAGATAGGTATTATACCGATCTAAGCTCATGTTAATTCTAGTGGACAAATCCAAGAACAAGGATTTAAAAAGAAAAAACTATGAAAAAAAATTAATTTTTAATAAAAATCAAATTCATCTTTAGTGGTCTACCTAAATTGTTTAAGTCATGTATCTTTGGCAAAAAGTAGTGACTTTGAATCCAATCCCCACATCTTGTATTTAAAAAAAACATCATCTAGTCAAAATAAACCAACAAAATCTATCCAAATTCTAATTTTTAGTTTTATTTATTTTTCTTTTCAATGATTGAGAAACATAAGTTTTATTGTTTATTACTCAATTTTAAAAAACACTTCCAAAACTGGATAAAAATTTTGAAAATAACAAACTCTAAGTTGAAAAGAAAATGAAATGATGCGTAGCTTAGTAGATCTATAAATACCATTTTACTGTTGTTATACCTCTTTATCCTTTTTCCCCTACAATGCCTAAAAAAATGGTCTAGCAACATTAAAATAAGAACAAGATAATAAAGATTGGAACGTTTTAATATGGCAAAGAGTAATAAGAATGGGATTGTGCAAACTTAGCCATTCTTACTCTTTGATAGACATCTAAGAACTTTAGGTCATATTCAACAAAACTACTTTACTTCTCTTTATTAAAATTATTGTAAAGTAGAGGGAAAAGGTAGATTATGAAATTTTCAACCCCCAATTTTTCTTGATAATTTCTCATTGTTGAATAAAAGGATAGAAAGAGGCCTTTCCCAAATTCTCCCAAATGAATTTGAACTACTTCCTGAGCAAAACATTACACTTCAAAAAATATATATATTAAACCCTTTTTATTTTCTACATCAGCCTCCTCACCATGGAGCCATCCAAGGAATGAACAGAAAGAATAAGAAATTTGCAAGCAAAAAAATGTGGACTCTCTTCTCTTTCCCACTCATTTCACCAAATAATCTCAATCTGTGAGCTGCTGCTCCACTGGCTTGGGGGGTTTGTGTTGAGTTCACTGTCTCTTTAGTTTTATTGCTAACTTTCTTACTGCAAAAAGAACACAGTTTTTGATCAGACAAAGCTGAAATCCAACAACAAAACACTAGCTTTTACTTGGGAATTGCATGAAACACAGAGCTTTATTACCTTCCAGGAAATATGCAGCTCCCATGACCTGCAAATACAAGCACATTCCCCACATAAGTTGGTGATGCTGTCACAATTCACAGAGTACCAATAAAAAATAGTACACAAAACTATGGGGAGCCCATGATGCCACCAAAATCTAAGGCAATACCTACAAATCTAGGCCGGGATAAGGAATCTTTCGTAGTGCTTATGGGACACTGATGTTGGTAGAGTAACCACTATGTAATGAAAAATATCCCCACCCATCCCCACAAGCTAAAAGATGAACAAATAAACAAAAAGAGAGAGAAGCAGTGCGTCACAGAAGTGAATTGGGACAATACATATGTTGGATCTTCTTCCTTTGTCATTCAATTGTGTTTAGTTTAACGACTTCACTGTTAAAAAAGTTTGGAAAACCCATATCTTGATTAACTATACTCATGCCATGCCAGAGTAAATTTAATAAAAAGCAGAAAGTTCCCATGAATTTGAGTTGAAACAATGGCGACCCAGAAGAAAATTTTGAATGAAATTTTAAGTAAAGAGAGAGATCTTACTTGGGTCAGTGGTGGTGATCATGGCCACGCCCTTGAAATCGCAAGACCCAGAAGTTTTCCCTTCCTTCTGATAATAGCTATCAAACGCATAAGAAGCATGGTTCTTCACATTATTAGGCTGATAACAAGGCTCTCCCGGCTGAATCTCTGTACAATTCGCTTTACCAGGTCCACAAGCCCAATCTAACGCCGTCTGCAATGTCTTGGCGTCGAACTCATCCATGGCTATACAGTACGTCTGGTTCGTCGTGTCGTTCGCCAAAAACGTCCCACTTCCGGTCACATGAAGCAAATAAACCGGCGTGGAGTTGCCGTAAAACAGCCCCCAATTCGCCTCCGACACCGGCGGCGACCGTAAATCCTCATTGAACAGCTCGTAGATGTACACACTGGAAGTGATTTCCGGGTGAAATGGGGTTCCGCTCCGGTCGAGAATATGCTTGATTAGATTCGAATTGAAAGTGTCGGCGTTGTCGATTGTGGCGTACGGCTCTTTCGAATCGCCCTTCGACGGCCACCCGCTCTCGGTGACGAGAACCACGACGTCTGTGATGTTGAGGTTCTTCATCGAGAAATAGGCGGAGTCAATCATGGCGTCGAGAACATTAGTGTAGTGAAGCAGAGTATTGGGGTCGACCATTTCCTTGGAGGGCGTCAAGGGTTTGAACAGCGAGTTATCGAGAGGAACCACGCCTTTGTTTTGCATAAAAACGTAGTAAGGGTAAAAATTCATCATCAGCGGCGACCCAGTTCTGGAAAGGAACTGAAGCAGAGGAAGCATGAACTGAACCAGGCTCTGGTTGAAGAAAGCCTGCGACGGCGGAAATGGGTCGAGAATTATCGAAGCAGCATGTGGAGTGGAAATTGGAATCTGGGTTTGAAGATTCGCTGAAACTAGGGCATTGTAGAGGGATTCAATTGCGGGGAGCAACAGAGGGGAAGCAGAGGGGATGGTGGTTAAAACCTCGTCTCCGACGGAAATGCCGGAAATTAGAGTCTGGGGATAGTACGCCACCACATTCCGGCCGATCCATGCGGCGGCGGTGGCGTTGGAGGACCCAATTGCAATAAGTTGGTTGTTGGGTACACTGATTATTACTCGAATTTTCGTCCCACTTAGGGCTTTGAGAATTTCAGGGTTCGCATCGTACAGCCTAATGTGAGTGATTTTCTGAAAACGCAAGAACGAAACCAAGTCCGAAGGCGACAATAGATTCGAAACGTCACTCCCAATATTAACCCCAACAAATGGCTGCCTATCTTCCTTCTCCAGCTTCTGCCCCTTAATCAATGGCTTCTGAAATTTACCTGCAAACCCCAAAAGAAAGAAACATCAGAAGAGAACTTCTTCAACTTCTAAGTGAATAATTTCATGTTCGTTTGAGACTTCATTACCTTCAGAAGCAGTGAGAAATACAAAAAAGAAGAGAAAAAACAGGTGAAACTTAGATTCTGCCATCGAAAGGGGATTGAAGCTTCAGCTCAGCTACGTCACTCTCTGCCTCTGGTTCAGCTGCAAATCCTTGCATTATCTAATCTCTATCGATTCTTTTTTGTTCCTGTACTTATTATGTCGGTTTCCTCTTCTGGGTCTGAGCGGTTGACCGAAAAAAATCTACAAATTGCAAAGGCCAACAACACCCAAATCAAATTTAAGAGAAGAACCCCTTCGGATTAATTACATTGGCGCTAACAGAAATCACAATGAAAACATATTCCTCTCTCGCCAAAGGAATTTACAAAAGTAACCTCGTGGGCCGACCAAGAAGTATTTTTGGTGGACTTAGCAGTTAAGTTTTTGGAATTCCTATAATGGCTGTGATTCCTTTCCCTTCTAGCACGATGGTTGCCCAAAAGGCTGAAACGGAGGAGGGGTTGGGGAAAAGGAAGGACTCTTTTGAAGTTTAAACTGTGTGTTGGGGACATTATTGTAAATTCACAGAGAAATTTTGAAAAGTGTCCGTTCTGGACATGTTAGATTGTTCTTGAAAAACCAGGCTGTCCCTTACACAACAAAGAGACGTTACACTTACACTTACAACCGCTGCTGTGTTTGTTTATTTATGGCGCGTGCTTTCAAACATGTCTTTTACCAATCCATAACACCAAACTCACTGTGCCTAATTTACTGCCAAATTAAATACATCATTAAAAAAGATTATTTTTTTTTTATCTTGAATTCGAAATTCAGCCACCGACCACAAAGTGAATATCTAGAACTAGAAGAATGGGCAATTTTTATCTTTACTGAAAAATGGACTTGAATGATTGATATGTTACAAGTTCATGTATGTAATTATGGGATTGTAATATAAGGAGAATGTTAATAAAAAGAAACCCATCTCCGTTGAATTACCATAAGAAAGAGAAAGAGGCACGCTTTTTCTGGCAATGGCCACAGATTTTGATACTGAAAAGGACAAACAAAGCTGTGTACCTTCTTACATGGCACAGAATCACGAGCGCCTGTAATAAAATCACGTGACTCTATGCTCAAACGATGAACAAAACAATTTCACAAGAAAGGAGTAGAAAGAGAACAAAGAAGACGACATGGCTTTGATGTTTTATTACATTAGAATTGGACACACATTTGTAAAAGTCGAGGAAACAGTAACTAAGCCATCGAATACAAGGTTGGCTTCGTGAACCCTTCGAATTTCAAGATCAACTTTCTGAACTAATGGCAGAAAAAGGCATAGGATCCCTTTCGCTAGAAAGGGTACGACCCAGAAGTGAACTGAATTATTTAGTCATGGCAGTGGGTAGCATTGATCTGGTGCTCGTCAATTGGTCCAATAATTAGGCAAGAAGAGAGGGGATTAAACAACTATTTTTAACAGAAAAAAGAAGAGGTTTTTAAGTGAATATTGTGGTTCACCCACCTGCCTGCCACGCAGACACCATAATTTCTTGTTCTTGGTGGCTGGCTCTCTAACTCTCAACTTCTCTGCAAAAAGCAAAAGAAAAATAAAAACATTGAGTGAAATCAAGGGACGATTGTGGTTTAGAATTTGAAAAAAGGGAAGACCAAAAAGTTCATAGGTACATACGTATGTGATCATATGATTAATTCGGCAAAAATGAATGATGCTGCTTTTTGTGATCTGAGGCAAATTACGACACTTTCCCAATCAATAATTTTGGTATGGAAATCCCAAAGGAGTTTACTCTGTAATCATTCGACGGGTACATAAAAACATGGGAGATTCTGTCTCCGTCGTGGGATTGTTTGCCACAATGGAGTTGTAAAGAATTGCGGGTGGGGCTTGGCTCTGGCTCTGGCTCTGGCTGATGCTTTTCTCTTATCTTTCATTTGTTTGTTTCTGTGACGCTACGGCCAACCATTAGAAGATTAAATATCAAATCATGGGTTCAGCTATTAATGGGAGTTTAATGGAGTGGGTCGCACTAGCCATCTTGGGTCTAATTGCCACAAGTTTAAGTTTTTTAACATCTCGTCTCATGAAAAGTCCTCACCTAACACCGACTGCGGCACTGATCAAAACACACAGAATTTAGAGACGTGGGGGAAACATGAAGCCCAACTATTGCACAAACGAAGATCATTACAACCAAAAGAGACCCGAGACCAGACAAATCCTCAAACAAAACAATCTACAATCTATTCCTTGGACTCTTTGTACATGTACGTGCCACGGATAACAAAAACTTGAGCCTATAATTTCAGAACCAGAAGCTCTAAGCTCCAAAAAGATGCCCAAGTTTTGATTTCAATCTCAACGTCCATCCCGGTGGTGGTTAACGGTTAGTATCCTCGGATGAATACAGAACCCAACAAGATTGGAGCCTGTGTGAGTTTTTTCCACTTGGATAATGGCGATCAATGTGTATCTATTAGGACTTGATTTTTCCTTTGCTATATGTAATATATCATCGTAGGGCATTCACAAAAGCCATCAACGAGTCAACATCCCTCTTCTCCGATGGGTACTTGATTGGGTTAGATGAGTGTTTGGGAAAGAAGAGTATTGTGGGGAAGGAGCCTAGCTGCAACTCTCGTTTGGCGAACTCCTTCTGCTCACCGTCGGCTCTGAACTTTCCAACTTTCACTCCACTCCCTGCCAACTTCTCAGCCAATTCAACATATGACCCTTCCATAGCCTGTAGGAATTCACCAAAAAATGTTAGTCAGCGACATTCCAAATCAAAACTGGGAATAATTGTAGTTTACTTTTACTTGTTTACATTATTGCAATAGTCAACTGAAACGTGGTTAGTGCAAAATCGTTTTTACCTGGCAGAACTGGCACCACGGTGCATAGAGAACAACAAGCCAAGGTTCTTTCCGGTTCCCCAGTCTGGCCAAGTTTTCTATTCCAGTTCTGTTAAGGTTCACCAAGTTCTGGGAGTTGAAGATGTCATTAACTGTGGGAGTTCCACTTACGTGAAGAGCTCCATTTCCATTGCCATTGAGCTGGGGAACAGCTTCCTGTTTAAGGTTTCCTTTGTGAAGACCGCATTCCTTGGCCTTGGAATCCTCCCACCACCACCTTCCTTCTCTTTCATGCTGCCCTGGGAGGACAGGCCTTGTGCACGGCTCACATCCAATTGAGACGTATCCTCGAGAATGCAAGGAATTCACAGGCACATTCATGGTCCTCAAAAAGTTCCATATGTCTCTACCATCAACGTTGGCTACAGGGTTCCACTTAATCAGACTCCCAATGCCACCATCCAACCCCTCGAAAACAGGATCAACTTGAACAATAGGAACCTCAGACCTAGTTCCAGGAGATTGGTCTTTTCTTTGTCCGGTGATCCATGCTCGGAGCCCCTTTAGGGCCCTCCTCAAAGGCCTCACTTTCCTTACTCGGCAGCACTCCTGGTGGCCATCCTCATAGAATGAAAACAGCCCTTTGTTCCTAACTAATCCCTGAACTTCAACAGCATCTGGGAACATGTACTCGATATGAATGTCATAATGTCTCTCCACCTCATCAAAGAACTTATATGTTTCCGAATTCAACCTCCCAGTGTCTAGGCTAAACACCCTAAATGGTCGACCAGTCAAACGAGCATACTCAATCAATGCAACATCTTCTGCGCCACTGCAGTGAATAATTTTTGTTAGACGTTTTGTTGGTGAGAGGAGCATAAGGAGATTCTTTAAAAGTTAAAACACAATGAATAAGAAACCAAATGCTTCACTAGCAAATTCTGGTAAGGATGATTTTGATTTTTTTTTTTTATGGGAAGGATGAAAATTAACAATACCCTTAAATCTATGTTTTGGTGTTCAGAAAGAACTTCGGAAACATACTTTTCGAGTCAATCTAATAGTATTAATTTATCATGATGTAATTAAATTATGAGTTTCAATAAAATTTATCCTATCTTTACTCAGTTGACACTTCTTCAACATTTTCATAATGTTTCATTATGCTCTACCATCTACAATTGACCGTAGCTAAAAGTTTACGGAAACTGAAAGAAGATTGACAGAGGTAACAGGTAGCGGCAGAGAGAATAAATAAAACTAACAAAATATGAAGCAATTAGTTCGACAAAAAATAAATTCCGGAATCATGGATCTCTACGGTACGTGAATTTAAGGACATGCTCGATAAGGTCTTATCCTTGAACGACGATGATATTCATCTATACAGCATTGCAATACGAAGTTTAGACATTTGAGACATAAAAACGGACGTTGAATTATACAAGCTAAAGACAATTTAATCGAATAATCGAACAAAAACATACCTGAATGCAATCGCAATGTCATCCCCAAATTTCTCGAGGGCTTTGTCCATAATTTCCAGAGGGGACGCATTTTCAAGGTCTTTGGCTAATCCATTATAGTCCTCCACCGTCTCCACTTTCTCTGCCACCTCTGCAGATCCAGCCCCAAAACGTCATCATCAACACCAGAAACATTTTTTCCACAAATATCCAGAAATGAATACTAATTCGAGCAGATAATACTAAGAAATCAGAATTACCAGCAGTAATGGTATTCGCTGCGAGAGGGACAAGAGAAGCATTCCGTTTGGATCCTCTTGGTGAGTAATTGAGTCCAACGGAGGCAATGTGCGGCCGATTCAACAGGTGAACAGAACCGATTCGTGGAGCTGCAAATCGAAACGATTCCGATACTTAGGAATTAGCATTGTAGACTCAATCATAATTATAAGACTACATTATTTCTGATCTGTACCTTTAGGTTCAGAGGTAGCGGCAAAATGTTGCACATTAGAAGCAGAAATCGCAGAAGCAGTAGAAGCAGCAGCAAGCGCCATGAAAGACAAAAGAATAATTACTCTTCCCTTTGGGTTCCGCTTTCAAATTGAATTGAATTGAATGGAATTGCTGTCTGCGTTATTCTGGAACGCTATAGAATAACTCTATATAGCGTGTAAATAAAAGGGATGGAAGATGATACATTGAACCTGGACGGAATTGGAGCATTAGGGATTCATTAACTTCTTGCCTAGTTGGCGGGCTGTGATTGGTGGGAAGTCCACTCGCGTCGCTCCATCGTCCCGTCACGTAGCAGTCTTTGACCGAAACAGAATGACATCTCACGTGGCATACTCAATTTCCATTTTTCTGCTCGGACCTTCTACGAACTTTCCGCCTCTAAAATATCGTGTAAATTTAGATTTGGTAAACGTAAATATCAGTTCGTGAAAAAAAAAATTAAAAATAACACAATTGGACCTACTTTTTGGGTAATTTTCAGTTTAATTCTTTAAAATTCTTAATTTTGTTTTATTCTCAATTAAATCTAAATATTATTTTTAAAAAGTTGATTGATTATTTTATTTAGGGGATTTGTAATGGGTAGCTTTTCTATATTTAACAAAATAGCATGCATTTTTTATATTTTCAGATATAGCATTTTTTTGAAAATCCTGATTTTAAAATTTTTAGTATTCTCAAATTACCCTTTTCAGTTATCGCTTCGTTCTTATATATCAAACATATATCACATATATATCAAGAGTATATCTGACAACATTAGTATATCAGAAGTAAATCAATAGTATATCAAAAATCAATCAGTTTTATATCAGTTGTATAATAGTAAATCACTATTTTACCTGCTTTAACCCTTTGTCTTGTATTTTTTTGATCAATTAGAAATTAGTAGGTATTGACATGCATGGAAAATGAGAAAAAAATTTGATACTTACTGAAAATGAGAAAGAAAACTTGAAAAGGAACGTGAATGTGAATGTAAATGGTGACTTTCGAAATTACTGTGAATGAGAAATCAATTAGAAATTAAAGGTAAATAGAAACTTAGAGTTTTTCTGTATATCAATAATATATCAGTGATATATCAAGTATACATTGTACATATATCAATAGTACAATTAAGTTTTATTTAAAGTTTTAAAGATCAAAATGAAAACAGCAACAATGTCATTTTTAAAAGGTTTAAATATCATTCTTGGGTATCAACATCAACATCAAATCAGCAGCAAAGTTCTTCAACCAAAAACTTAAAGGTTTAAACATCAAAACGAACCAGTAGCATAAATCAAAAGTAGACTAACAATGTCATTCTTAAAATTCTATAAAAGAAGAAGCATAAGTTCCATATGCATAAGTTCCAACAGTCTAGAAAAGYGTAAGTTTCATTCTTGTATAATCTTTAGGTAAAAGCTTGAAACATCAATCTTCGTTCTTRGTGATTGTCGYGTTTTCGGARATACTATCTTTGAAGCTTTTCATTTTTCCAAAGACAACASTTTTGGCGTTGGTTTATGTTGTCTTTTGGGACGAACGACATCAACATTTTCGAYAATGTTTTTTTATTTCATTTTKTGTGTTTGTACCATWGCTTTTATCTRAAAAAAAWTTATTTCATATATTAGTATATCATAAAACATATATTAGAGGTAATATGTTCGAAATAATTGGTAGATATTATAGTTATATAAGAAGTAAATCAATCTCATATCATATGTATATCGAACATATATCACATATATATCAAGAGTATATATGTTAATTATAGTTATATCAGAAGTAAATCAATAGTATATAAGAAGTCAATCAGTTCTATATCACCTTTAGTAGTAGATATCATAGTTATATCAGAAGTAAATCAATTTCATATCATATGTATATCAAACTTATATCACATATATATGAGGAGTATATCTGTCAATCATAGTTATATCATAAGTAAATCAATAGTATATTAAAAGTCAATCAGTTCTATATCACCTATAGTAGTATATATCGTAGTTATATCAGAAGTAAATCAATTTCATATCAAATATATATGAAATATATATCACATTTATATCAAGAGTATATCTGTCAATCATAGTTATATCAGGAGTATATCTGTCAATCATAGTTATATCATAAGTAAATCAATAGTATATCAGAAGTCAATCAATTCTATGTCACCTATAGTAGTAGATATCATAGTTATATNTGATATATCAAGTATACATTGTACATATATCAATAGTACAATTAAGTTTTATTTAAAGTTTTAAAGATCAAAATGAAAACAGCAACAATGTCATTTTTAAAAGGTTTAAATATCATTCTTGGGTATCAACATCAACATCAAATCAGCAGCAAAGTTCTTCAACCAAAAACTTAAAGGTTTAAACATCAAAACGAACCAGTAGCATAAATCAAAAGTAGACTAACAATGTCATTCTTAAAATTCTATAAAAGAAGAAGCATAAGTTCCATATGCATAAGTTCCAACAGTCTAGAAAAGCATAAGTTTCATTCTTGTATAATCTTTAGGTAAAAGCTTGAGACATAAATCTTCGTTCTTGGTGATTGTCGTGTTTTCGGAGATACTATCTTTGAAGCTTTTCGTTTTTCCAAAGACAACACTTTTGGCATTGGTTTATGTTATCTTTTGGGACGAACGACATCAACATTTTCGACGATGTTTTTTTATTTCATTTTTTGTGTTTGTACCATTGCTTTTACCTGAAAAAAATTATTTCATATATTAGTATATCATAAAACATATATTAGAGGTAATATGTTCGAAATAATTGGTAGATATTATAGTTATATAAGAAGTAAATCAATTTCATATCATATGTATATCAAACATATATCAAATATATATCAAGAGTATATATATTAATCATAGTTATATCAGAAATAAATCAATAGTATATAAGAAGTCAATTAGTTCTATATCACCTATAGTAGTAGATATCATAGTTATATCAGAAGTAAATCAATTTCATATCATATGTATATCAAACATATATCACATATATATGAGGAGTATATCTGTCAATCATAGTTATATCATAAGTAAATCAATAGTATATCAAAAGTCAATCAGTTCTATATCACCTATAGTAGTATATATCATAGTTATATCAGAAGTAAATCAATTTCATATCAAATATATATGAAATATATATCACATTTATATCAAGAGTATATCTGTCAATCATAGTTATATCAGGAGTATATCTGTCAATCATAGTTATATCATAAGTAAATCAATAGTATATCAGAAGTCAATCAATTCTATGTCACCTATAGTAGTAGATATCATAGTTATATCAAAAGTAAATCAATTTCATACCATATGTATATCAAACATATATCACATATATATCAGGAGTATATCTGTCAATCATTACTATATCAGAAGTCAATCAGAAGTAATTTATTGTTGGTTCGGGCCTGTAGGGTATATTTGTAATTTATAATGTGGGCCTCCGTTTTTTTGCCAAAAAAATGCTATATTTGAAAAACCAAAACCTTATTGCTATTTTGCTTATTTTCCTAACTTTTTTTGCCATATCTCAGATTGCCCCTTTTATTTATAATATTTCAACATATATGAAAATAAAGTAATTATTGTTAAATAATGCTAAAAGAAAATCCCTTTTGCTAACAAGACGTAAGGTATGATCAAACATATGAAAATAAAGTCTAGATTACTTTATACAAAGTATTTTCATCTCTTTCTGTATAGGAATTGTGAAAAGGAAAAAGAGAAACCGGCTATAGAGCACGAGTCTTTACAAGCAATAAAAGTGGCAGAACAAGTGAAATATTTGAGATTTATCAAACTTAAGGTAAGGGGCACGAGTGAAAGAAAGTTATTGTTTCGAAGCTCAAGTATATATAGGAATAGGGAGAATAAAGTAAGTTAATAACTTATATTGAAACTTTACTAGTTGATAACATTGATATGTCTTATGTCGTAGGTCTCTCGATGGTTCGTCCAAGCGAACTGATCAATGAGAGATAATGATGGATATTCCTTCAAAGAAATGAGTACTAAGGTACTTTTTAATTTGGTATTCAAGATATCGTACTAATTAACCAAGGCAATTCGAGCATTGTTCAGTAGATATTGACACTATTACCATCTAAAAGGTCGATGATCTGATCTTCGTAACCTCAACAAATCAACTTCCAATTAATAAATTCTCATTATACAAATCAAATAATCACTTCTTTCTGAAAGAGATCAAAAAAAATTATCTTTTTTCCTAAATAGACCGGTAAGCGAGTAAACTTCTTTCATTGAAATTTTGAAGGAAGAGGAAAACTAATCCAACCTCAATTCATAATTTGAATTTACAAATGACAACCCAACTGAAAAGATTATTGAATCACAAATGTTATGGAGAGTTTTTCTTTCTTGAAATATAAAATTCTTACTAAAAATAAAAAACCAAATATTTTAATACTCACGTGTCACGTGATATTAAAAATACCCTCCAATGCAAGCATGCAATAAACAAAATAAAAAAAAAGGACCATTTTGGTCCCCAGCTCCAGCTTGTCCTATACAAAGTGTCAAAGAATCCATGTCAATAATGAATAATTTATATGCAGTTAGTTTCAATATCACTGTCAAGCACGAACCATAGGCTGATATATATTATATACAGTTCCTTGATTTCTCTATTCCTCTCATTAAACATGATTTTCCAGCCCTTGAGCAGTCCAGATCTAATAAAAAAAAACACAGACACACACACAATGAAGAAGTCTTATGTAAGACAAATCCTTAAATAAACAAAACCAGTTTGAGTTCTATAAATTACTAAAGCAGATCTGGATTTGTTGATTTATGTTTATGTCATGTGGTCCAATGTTTACCAGACAAATTCAGAGTTGTTTTCACTCTAATAATTGAACTTGGTGTTTTGCCAAGTTCAAAGTTCATACATTTTCAATGTCTAAAGATGTTCCTATTCATCTCCATTACACTTTCAGTTTTTACCTTTAATTACTCTGTTGACTATGAATTTATCCGGATCAGTTTTGGAACTAGCTTATAAATCACCTTGTTCATTATTTGTAGAAATGGTGGCTGAAGAACAGAGAACATGGCAGAGCAGGCTACACCTCTGGCTCCTGATGCAGATGCTCAGTTGTTGGAATGGCCCAAGAAAGACAACCGCCGCTTGCTTCATGCTGTCTATTGTGTTGGTGATCTCGATCGCACCATCAAGTAAATTTTCTTCATTCTTACTCTGGATCTCTCTCTTCTCTGTCTTTCTCTTCATGGCCATGTATTTTCCTTCTTCAGGTTCTACACTGAATGCTTTGGGATGAAACTCCTGCGAATTAGAGATGTCCCAGAAGAGAAGTATTCCAATGCATTCATGGGGTTTGGCCCCGAGCAATCTTCGTTCGTCGTCGAGCTGATTTACAGTACGTGGCTTTAACAACTTCTCTGAATCAAGTCATAATCTTCTTCCCTCTTCAATCCAAACTTGTGTTGAAATCATACAGATCATGGAGTAACTTCATATGATATTGGTACTGGATTTGGACACTTTGCCATTGCTACTCAGGATGTGAGTAAAACTAATCAATCAAGTGTCATTCTTCATGACTTTGCCTTGTTCTGCAACTTGAGATTTAGAACATTAACGTTGACCTTCTGTTCATTTCCAAGGTTTACAAAATGGTTGAAAATATCACGGCCAAGAGTGCTGATAGTATCATCAGAGAACCTTTTGAACTGAAAGGCAGCTCCTTTGTGCTGGCCTATGTGAAAGATCCTGATGGTTACATCTTTGAGCTGATCCAAAGAGCTCCCACTCCTCAGCCACTCTGCCATGTAATGCTTCGTGTTGCCGATTTACAACGCTCTATCAACTTCTATGAGAAGGTAAAAAGAATTTCTCCCCACAACTGTTGAAAAAAGTCAAGAGAGACGTTTTTCTGCAGTGCCACTAAAAATTCTCATCCTGAGTTATAATTCTGCATGATTTTGTCTCTGTACAGGCATTGGGAATGAGGTCACTTAATAAGGTTGAGAGTGTTGAACACAAGGTGAACTTTAATATTGACCAATTACAGAGTTTCTATTCATCTTCCAAAAGTAAAGCCTGATGAAATGCTATAATTCTCAGTATGCCATAGCCATTATGGGGTATGCAGATGAGTCAGAGACAGTGGCGCTGGAGTTGACTTACAATCATGGTGTGACAGAACATTCCAAGGGAAATGGATATTCCCAGGTCAACACTTATGTTTTTGTTGGAGTTGTCCTAGATTAAAGTACCATTTTCCCATGTTTATGGTAACTTCTAGTTCTGGTTTCAGGTTGCTATTGGCACAGATGATGTATACAAGAGTGCTGAGGTTGTCAATCTGATTACCAAAGAGCTTGGAGGAAAGATAACCCAGCAGCCCAGTTTGATTCATCCAATCAATGCGAAGATTACCGAGTTTCTCGATCCCGATGGCTGGAAAATTGTGAGTTATCTTTATAAAATCAAATCCTTGCAAATGACAAGTGGATTTTTGTTAAACTATACGCTTGATCAGCTACGAAACTATGTTCAAGTAGTGCTTCAATCCAAACCTTCTCTGTTTTAGGTTCTTGTTGACAATGAAGACTATCTGAAGGAGCTGCAGTGAAGAATGACTCTACCGACAGTGAAAACGTACTGTTGAATCGACAATCTTCGAAAAATTTGGAGATTTATAAATATGAAAATATTTTAAGCATTTCAATTGGCTTGGATTCTTTCGAGATTTCAAACTGTGGTTTTTATGAGATACTGTTGGTATTTGATGTTTTCTTATTAAATAGTTGGGATCATTCTCAATTTCTTTAGTCTATTCCAATTTGCATGCTATATTACAACTTCTTGAATTTTTCTCTCTCGTCGGTTAGCCTCTAGCTAGAAATTATAATTGGAAGAGATTCCTTTAACAATTACACGTAGTAAAGATAACTTAGATGTAAAATTCTCTTTAGATAAAAGAATAATTAATCGAAATTAGATGTTTCATGCTTCTCGTGAATATCCTTAAATGTCACTAACATTTTCTACTAAACAGACGTGAAAACTAATTAATTACCAGCAGAGAACATTTGATATTCCCATGAAATAGAAATTAGAATTTGGATGTGGATGTGGAAATCATGGAGGATTCTCACCAAACACACCCACATTTGTTTTCGGGTTTGGGATGGGGAGAACACCACAAAATCCAGAACCCAACTCAATGAAGTCCTTATCGAGCAACATACACCAGTGATAGTGACCACTGGTAAAAGGAAAGAAAGCCTAAGATAGTCAGAAATAGACAAGTTAGTCAGCGAACTGACTTGGGGGGAGCAAGCAGAGAGAATTTACAGCTTTTCCAGTTTTATTTACAGATGAATTTTGATTTGGAGCAATCAGAATCCAAAGGTGTTCTCTCCACTGTAAGTCATGTAAAGAAAACCATCCTCATCCTTGTTTTCTTCGTAGATTGCTGACATCAAAGCAGCTGTGACAATTGAATACACATATCAAACAAATGCAAATGCAATTCTAGATGCAACCATGTGAAATATATATCAAAAGAAACAGAAATTCAACTAACCAGTTGGAGGCAATGTGCTTTTGATAAAGATGAAAATAGCCTTCTCCGCACTAAGCTTGATCCTTTTCCGGACAACATAAACAAACTGCCCAACAGTCAGGTCAGCAGGGACAAGGTACCTGAAATCATGTAAAAGGGATGTGGTATAAGTATATACAACCATGATATAGTCAAATGTACGTATAAAAATTGAACTGCTTTCAAATTTGGTTAATACTATTCCACCAGCACTAGAACAAAGATGAGCCACTACTCAATATCAGACAATCAAGACTGCACCATCCTGATGCGTAACTTCTACTGGAAATGAAAGAATAAGCCAGCACCTAATGATAGAAACAAAGTCCTATAGTTGTAATTCAATTGAAAGACCTCCCCTTTCAATTTAATCCCAGCTCATTTCGGTTAGTAAGTCCAATTTTTAACTGGTTTATGTAAAATCAAGTCATTATGGAACTTACTTCTTCTTGTCGATGTCGGGAATGTCACTCCTTTCAGCTTTCTCCACAATCACCTGCAGTTAAATCATATCAACAGAGGAAAATTGGAGCGCGCTCAGTGCCAAAATACTATTATGAAAGTTTAACATTCTTACGGGAATTCTATCTGGGTATTTCTCCCTGATGCGAGCAGCTTCAGCTTGTCTCCTTTCTAGAACATAGGAGTAACAATTTTAGAACAGAGTAAAGAGCATGCACAACTGCAGTGGAAATCTGAGTTTGATTGAATGTGACACTCAAACATATGAGAATGAGGCTGTGTGAGAGAGCGCGCAGAAATCAAAAGACTCGTCTTTCAATTGACGCCGGAGATCAAATTCACGGAGGAAACATGTTTCCACCATAAGTGACCCTCTCACATCAAGATTCCAGCGAAAAGGAGGACGAAAGGGAAGTAAAATTAGCCCCAATTACACAAATCAAAGAAACCCTTATGCAATCATAAGAACATTACCTAATTCAATACCCACCCGGGTGACTCATCAGTCATCGACGCAAGAAAAGTAACCACAAAAAAACGGTCTAGATATCAAACATCGACAACCCGGAAACTTAAATTAACATGGAAGTAAGCCAATTAAGCATCAAACGTACACGAAAACTGATATGATCCGTCACAGAAGGAAACAAAAAATAGAGAGAAGAAAACTAAAAGAACGACCAAAAAGGCCAAAATCGTCAAAAGAAAAACCTAGAGGATGTTCGAGCTTGAACGTGCTTTTAGCCATGGGGAATCTCAAATCTTTTCTGCAAATTCAAACACCGGACAATTACAACTCAAAATTCCACGCCCAGGACTTCAAATAAAACATCGAATGAACAAAATAAAAGAAAGTACGAATAATTAAGAACAATAGTTGGGTAAAATAACATACCAAGACAGAATCAATGCGATCAGCGTCTTACGTCTACGAAACCGATTAGTTTGAGCTAACTAAATGAAAATGAGGAAAGAGACAGGAAAATCAAGCTGTGAAGATCGATCGTAAAATAACGGCTGAAGACTTCGAGACGAAGAAGCGTACCTCCGTTTCCTTCTTAATGCCCCCACGTCAACCCAATAACCCTTTTATCTCAGATCGGATTGCTTCCGTCGCAAGTTATGCCAGTATAGCGGGCCCATATGGCTTCATCAAAATTAGGCCCACTCTTCTCAAACCCAGTCTTGAGGCCCAAAGTTTTAATTCAGGCCCAAGATAAATGAAACACTCCGGCCCAACTACTTCTCAATTTTTTTTAATACAACTACTATGAATGGTTGATTGACAAAAATAAAAAACTGATATCCTTCCAAAAGATTCAAACTTTTGTTAACATTTCAAAAATACCCTTGAACAAACTTCCGTTGATATTTCCAATTTTACCTTAAAAGTCTTCATCATCTATTGTTTACCCAATTTTTCCCTAATCCTCTTTTAAAAATGATAATTTCTTCTCTATTTTCTCTTATTTTCAGACTTAATCCAAACAAGGTTTCATCATTCTAGATACTGCCAAATAAAATTTATGTTCAATATATTAAATGATGTATGCTTAAATGATATTTTTGTTTGAAAGGTCAATAGTATTATTGAAACTTTTGGTATCACTTTTGTTTTAAATAGATGTCAAAGTTCAAAAGATTTTTTTTTTTTTTTAACTTACCATTAAAATATTACATCATAGATTAGGAAGAGACACAGCTATCTAATCACTTTAGGTTATATGAAAAAAAAGAAAATAAATTATATATGTATAACTGAGAAATATATTAATGTTGAGGCAAAAAGGAGCTTAAAGCTGCAAATACAATACTAGTTTACTTCCAACTCTGTATAACATATAGATAAGAAAAACCTATATCAGATCAACTCCAACTTGAATCAAAGGCAGACAAAAAATGAGTACAACATTTTTGCTTTCATTCTCTCAAGTCCTTGAAATCCTTGTCTGATGAGTCTTCTCCTCACAATTCAAAAGCTTGTAGTCCATAAAGAAGTCTCATTTTCAGCACACTTCTGATGAACTTCCCTCATCCTTTCGACCGAGTTGCAGATCCCGCTGCATCTCCAATCAAACGATGCAACACAAACTTCACCTCCAAGAGCTTTCGTCTCGCAATCTACTCAAATGGATCATAGACCGAACCGTTACATATCGTTACTCGAAAATGGAGGAAGAAGAAGAAGATTAACATGAGTTTGTTAAGAACTTACCAGGTGGGGTGCTACAACATAGTTTCTTATCATCCACCTGCTCCACATCTAAACCAATAAACCAAGATCCTAATGAAACATCTTCATTGGCATACTTGTGCAGCACATCCCTATAGGTTGACACAAAGAATAGCATAAGGTTAAAGTTGTGTAATCAAGAGGGAAGCTACTTCAAAATGATTGTGTGTGCAACTTAACTGGTTCTGCAAGATGTAAGTAGCTAAATCTTTTGAGATTCCATATAACTGTCCTGTAGCATGACGAAAATACTTGTTTCCCTCGTCCCCGAATCTCAAATACTCCGGTTCGTGGTACTTTACTCCTCTATACCATATAGAGAGACATTGTGAGAACCAGATATAATTGGTAAGATTTTTTGTTTTCAAAGCTAAAAGGTACAAGTTACTCTTACTTTTTAGATAGGACAGGTCCGGACTTCATACAACCAATATAAACCCGAGGTTTATTCTGATGTCGAACCAGGGTCGTCCCGAGCGCAGCTGTAATAGATGAAAGGAAAGGATCTAAAGCTTAAATATTTGAGGATACACTTTCCTCATTGCATATCAATAGTTTGGTTCATCTGAACTTTTTCTGATGAGTTCCAGGTATGATATTTCTTGACAGTTCAAATAAGAGAATGTCTTGGTGTATGCTCACCTAAGTTCACATGGATGTCATCATCGACTTTGACATAAAATTCAGCATCCCACAAAGTAACTGCAGTGGCGAAGTATGTCTTCGTCTTGGCCGATAATTCGAGGTATCCCTCAACATGATTCTGCTTGTAAAGTTCAAAGAAAGATGAGCAAACTTTTATCAGATATCATAGTTTGATCTTTGATTATTCTCTTCAACCGGGAAATGATAAAAATTTGATCAAAACAGGTAAACATGAACAGCAGCAATGACAACGGCAGGATGGTATTACCAGCCTCAGGAAGTCTCCATGTTCAAGCTCCTCTGCATCAAGTGACTTGTCTAGTAGACTGCCAGGAGTTGAGCTAGCAAGAAAATAAAGTAATTGATGTTGTTTTGTTATTAATTCTTCATAGTTGTATCTTTATGAAAATGGAATAGGTGTTTTTCACTTACCTGCGTCCGATAACGAATCGAATGATTATTCCTTTCTCTTCCTCCAACTTCTTTCTCTTTTCACCTAGTAAGATTAAATTATAAACATCACCATCAATTTGTTCGTATGATTAAAAATGTACCAAAATCAAGAGAGAAAATTCAGGACTTGTCATGGCATACCTTGTGGCATCCAAGTTGCACGAACCGAATCTCGTCGTTTTCGGCTAGTAAATGCTGTGTTGATACCTACAACCACAAGATGTTTTCTTTTGGTAGTTGGCTCTGCATTCTTTACCTTCATGGCAATGTGAGATCCATTCGATGTAGACTCGTCACCTGCTGTTGCAGCTGCTAATTTCTTCTCAAGATTTAAGATACTCTTAGCAAGTTTCCTGCAATCAAAATTTAAACAGAAGTTTGCTCTTAGGTTACTCATTAATGTGGCAGCTTAGAGGGAGTAAATCCAGTCTGATTCAAGCATCAGCATGTTACTTACTGAATACTCAGCTGGGACCTTGAAAACTCCTCCAGGCTTGCGCCAGATGTTTTGCTTTTCACCTTGTTAAGGAAAACAATATTGAAAAGTTCATCACAAAGAAAATAAATAACACGAAATGCCACGAGAAGGAAACCGAAAGCTAGAAAATGATGAATGTGATTGTCCCTCTCAACAAGTTTTTAGTGAAAATAGTTAACATAACGTGTTAAGGAAAAACTAAAATTTCATTAAGTTTGTAAAGCAAAGGGCATATGATCAAGATTTAAAGCTATGATTATTATAAAGTAGAGCTTAAAGGCAATGAATCACTCACAAGTTCTGGATCATAAGACTTCAGTGCAACACCATTAGCTATAGGCACTATCCACATCCTGTCAAAATTATGCAGCTCATTAGCATGAACAGCTAGCTTCCTGATAAAAATTACAAGGTTTGTTAACATAAAACGTATCTTTTGGGATTAATTTTCAGAAGTTACATAATTGGTCGAAAGCACTTTTTTGATGAAGATCAAAAGTGCTCTCAATCCAGTTAAAAATGTAGTAAAAGGAAAGATATTTTGAACAAAAGAAGATCTATAAGCTGTAAAGGGCAGTCGCGGTTCAATAAACAGACTTTCAGGTTCTCCCATTTTCATCTGCAAAAACTAGCTAATTTTCTATGTTCTGGCTGGCAGCTATTGCAACAATACACTGTACAGAAGCAATTAAAAGCTAAAAGTTTACTTAAAATGTAACAAATAGAGACTTACTGAGTATAGTACCTGTTTGTAAAAAGCATGCCAGCAAAAAAGCATACAGAACATAGAAAAAAGGCCCACTTCCTAGATAACACATATCTTGAAGCAAGGTCCAATCCAATTCCTCCAACTTTATTCTTCGTAGACATTTTTGTCTGCCTTTCTTCACCTATTTTACTGTCTACAGAGTTGGAAGTAGAAATTCAAAGTTGATCAATGAGAAAAGTCCTAGAATTTGATACGAATTCTTCAGATTATGCAGTTTCTTCCCCAAATGAGAGAGGTTTCTGCATAATAAGTGACTGATAAACAAATGAAATTCTTGAAACCTAAATGGCTGAGAGCTGAAAGTGAGAATTTTCACTTTCAGCTCAAATGTGTATGGTGGAACTGAAAGGAAGGATTTGCTGATGGCTCAGAACTTGAACATGGGGCTTTTATTAAGCTTGTTGCAACAGCATTAATCATGTAATAAATGAGATTAGTAGAACTGAACCCCATTAATTTTTAAATTTAAACTGATAGATTGACCAATTAATCTGAAGAAAAATTTGAACCGTTTTAAAAATAAATGCAAATAAAACTGTCCGTTGTAAATGATCTCCTCCTCTCCCTCTCTCAAAATGGCCCTCCCTGATCCATAAATACTGAAAATTTGCAACCTCAGTTCTTACAGATCTTTTCCAGACCAAACAGAAAATTTGCTTCCAACCTTAATCCCCTCTAAAACAACCAGATTTGCCCTTGAAAAATCATAAGTGGGGCAACAACTGAGTATGTAAAAAAATGTAGTGAGAAAACATTGCTCATTGGTGCTGGGCATTTCCAAATCCACCAAATAAAGTTAACAAATTTCACATAGAAAAAATATGGACAATCTGCAGCAAATATGTTCTTGTATTTTGATTCCCTTCTTCAGTTTCTTTCAAGTGTAGATGACAATGACAAGAGCACCCAGCACATTTTGTTCTCTCTCTCTTTTCCTTTGATCTTTCACCCTGAATTTTCAGCACAAGATCTGCATCCATGTGGGAGCAATCTAAATCKAGGGAAGATGAACCTTCCTTTTTAGGCTTTGCATCAAAAAGCAGAATAATAGAGAAAACACATAGTTAGAAATAAGAAGAGAATATAATTAGTGCTCTTTTCTGCCCTCCTTTTGGATTTGATGAAGATGAGACCCATTTGCCACTAGTCCAACTTTTTTCAACTTAAGAGAGAAATGGGGCGGTCCCTCCTGTAAAGTGGAAAGATTCTCAACTTATTCCAAACGGAAAGAAGGGAGTGAAAAAAAAATGTGTAGTTTTCTCCATCTTTGTTTCAACTTTAACAAAACTTTATGTCATCCAAATTGATTAGGACGAACTGGAAAGGATATTGATGAATAACAAGAGATTTCTACACTGAAACTGATGAAATAAAATTCTGAGAAATATGATGGTTGGTTGTTGGTGCCGGGAAAAGGGGGAAAGGCAGAGCATTTTGGTGGAGTCCCAAGAATCTGTGAGTCAGGTCTGAGAGATCAAAACGACATGGTTTTGGTATAGATACCAAGGAAACTG